CAGATCCCCCAACCTTGTGTGTATGTAACAATAGCATGCACCGTGACGGAATCTGGCAAATGTAAGGTTCTCATTACCTATTCATCACCCGGGCCGAGATGGCCCGGAATTACCACCGCAGTGAAAATTATTTTCCACCGTGGTGAAAATTTATTCCAACCGCGGTGTAAATTATTTTCACCGTGGTGAAAATTCCATAAAATAAAACTTAAATGAAAATAGAAAAAAGTTAATATGATACTAACAAAGCTCCGTACAAATCAAAGCCAGCACATGTATGAATTAACTTACATGTAGGAGACCCTTTGGGTGGGATACATCTTTAGTCTTTAATCATCCTGAAGCATCACCAGAATTTTAGAGCCCACTTTCCTATTCAATTGTTTTTTTTTTTCCTTTTATTGACTCTGGAGACAAGTTTGCCCACCAAACACCCTGCCACATCACTGGTTAAGTCTACAAGGAGACCTCAAGTCTCTGAGGGAGGACAGGCTATGAGATTCAGGGTGACAAATTTTAGATAAGCCAGGGGAGGTTAAGGAATACAACCAGGGATCTGGACAGAATCAGGCCACAGTATATACAGAAGCTTGAACGCCTTTTTAACTTTGTGTGTATTAAAATACTGTTTGCTGTTAAAGCTTGTAACTAAAACATGCCAGCCCAGCCCATAATTTACAAAGGTACAAGGACAAAAAGCATTTTTTTTTCTTTTTCAAAAATGAAATCTTGCATTGTAATCAATTCTTTGAAATTCAGGTTTATTTTAGATCTTATAATAACTGGATTTTACTGTAAAAGACTGATATGGTTCTGCTGTGTTGAAAAGGAAAGGTTTTAAGGCAACTGAACCAAAAATAAGTCACTTACCTCATCTCAATACCACTGTTATCATCCACAAAATTTAAAAAAATCTAAAAATAAAAAAAACTATTTGATATCTGCAACATTTGACAGGATTGTTTTTAATGAATTTTTGAAGAATATATAATTATCTTCATTTTTCTTCCTAAAACTTTGTACCTGGAAACCTCATCTGTCCTTGGGTTAAAACTGACATTACCCATGAGGATTACTTGTTCACTTAAATCTTGAAATTCATTTTTTCCCAATAAATCACTAACTTTAACCATTTTAAACAATATACCTTAGACTCCATATATTTTATAGCCTCCTTAGAATATCAACCCAGCCAGCCTCCAGCTGATCACCCTGGGTTGCCTAGGATTACGTCTATTTTATGGCTTCCTTAAAGGTCCCCTTAAAGAACAACACTCTAATCAAAAACTGAACTCACTTATTCTGAAAAAAAAATTCACTGGAAGTCAAGTCGCCCCATAAATTCACCCATGATACACTTCAATTACCTGGCAGAGCTAGAGTTGGCAAAAGGCCAAGTCTGTCAGACTGCTCTGATGAAGAACAGTTTAGAGTTATTCCAAAGTTTTGCATCACTTGCTTTATTTTATGCCAGAACTGAATGAGACAGATTCAGTGATGGGCAACATCTATCACATTTCTGTTTATACACAAAGACCAATAGCCAGTGTATTACATACATCTTTTACATAAGGACAATTAAACACCATATATCATTCACCAGAGCTATCTGTCATGTACAAATACAAGCTTGTCAATCTCTAGTAACAAGTTTCAAATCAAACTATGAAACACAGGGTATCAGTCTTCCTATGTATATGCAGACTATGTGTATTACATAAAGATGCCAATGCCAGTGAAGACAGGTATTACAGCATAGCACATCACATAGACAGGTCTACAGCTGTGCCTGGCACATCAGGGTATCGTAGGCCTGGTGATAGCTTGATTAATGTAAACTTTACTCTGGTAAACATGTCTACATAACCCTTAACAGAGAGATATTAATCAGAAGCTCTCTTTATCAATGAGGATCAGGCATCAATAACATTGCTATACTGAAATTCCCATGAAGCTCTGTGTACAGAATGTATAAAGATAAATTATTAGAATCAAATAAGTGTACATCAGAAAGTAAAAGTTAGAATATTCCAAATTTCTAGGTTACGTGAAAAAAATTGTTATTCCAAAAATTGTACTTCACAGATGATTTTGTAGAAAAATTAATTTCATACAAATGGTATAAGGAGTCTAAAATCAAACGGCATTCAAACTTCAAATGTCTTCTGAGAATATGAACACTTCCTGAAGATAGAAAAAACCAAAGAACTCTATTAATTGAAGGAAACACTTGGTACAACACTGTTTCAAGCTTTCTTCTTGCACATATGAGATTTCTGAGTCAACTCCACTCCTCTTTTACAGGGAAGTGAATCATGCTGTCCTCATTCTGATCAGCAGAAACCCACTGTGACTTTCTTCTTCTTCTTCTCTCTCTCTCTCAATATACCAAAATACACAGATAGACAGAGTAAGGCACATCTGATACATAACCATCTATTCAATCTACCTGTAAGTCAACATTAGCAGTTTTCTAAAATGCTCTCAACTTCACATACACCAAAACTGCAAAAATTTTCCCATTTCATTTTAACGTAAAAAAAAAAAATCAAGACTTAAAAAGCTCTATTAATTTTAACTTAAATAATGGTAATTCATAAGCACAATAGATTTACCCACTAAGAATAAACATTCAAACTTACCTCTTTCACTTGTCAGCAGCTACCATCAATGTGTAGTAAAGTGGGTGCCCGCTGTAGTAAAATCTAAGTATAGCTTGGTAAACAGAGCCCCCAGATTCTGATGCACTCCAGATGCCTACAAAAAGATTTTCTCCATATTTGGAAGGTTCAACAGGAAAGTCTATTGTGACTAAGGGGTTGAGGGATGAAGGTGATACATGATTTGAAACCTTTATTTTCATTTTTTTTTTTTTTTGCTTCCATTCACGAGGGTAATACTCACTGAAATCTTTGTTGGCCTTGGAAAAGAAAACTAATGGAACTGATACATCATGCCAAAGCTAAAATAACAACAAGACTGTTTCATTTTAAGCAAAAAATTGTAATTGGACTAGCGTCAGGATTCAACAATGCAATCGAGGATTCAACAGTGCAATCGAGAATTGCAAAATACTGCATTGTGTGTTATAAAATCAATGCAAATTAATTTATGTAATTAGCTCCCAATTATCTGGCAGGCATTCATGCCTGCATGCACAGCACAGGGTTTAAAGTATTGTTCCATGAATCACTGGGCAAAGATGCAAGATGTTCCAGATACACCTGCATTTTATATCATCTAGGCAGACAATTTGGACAGAAACAGATAGACAAGAGTGAATGGAAAGCAGCAGGTGAAGAGCGAAAGAACAATCAGTTATATATGCAGCTGAATCAAAAGTAAAAGGTTGACACAGTATAATAATCTCAAGAATCCACAACAAAAAGATATGAATATGTATAACCCTTAATTTCTAAGCTAACCTTGAAAATCAAAAACTTGATTGAACTTACTGAAGTTAATTAATGAACATCCATAAAAGCACTGTTACCTACATTCTATAAATCATAATCTTACAAAAATGAGGTAAAAAAATAATACCAAATAGTAATCCACTAACAATACCCTAACTTTTTCCAAGATTCAGTTTTTGACAAAAGCTTTGTTTTCTCTTTTTTTTTCATGCCAACAAAAACAGATAAAAAACACAGATGTAAAGAACAGCTGAATTACCCCGAAAATGAATTAGCCACCGAAGTCCCAGTTCAAGCAAACACACCAGTTCATTGGTTCCCTGCAGCCTGCTTGCACTCCCCTTTGCTGACAGCCCGCCAAACAGGAGGCGTAATTTGTGAAAGTGAGGTAAAATGATAACCAGGCACACTGAAATCACCTCCAGCTGTCACAGTCTGCTCCAGCATTAGCTGCACGCTTTTGCAGAGACCAGGTACACGCGGGGCGTCTGCTTGGAGATTGGTTACACGCGTCTGGGTCATCATAATAACACAACGGAGATGCCAAAAAGGCTAAACTTGGAAGAAATGCTGGGGTAAAGGAGTAGTCTAAGGACAAGCAATAAAAGAAAGGGGAAAAAAAAAGAAAAGAAATAGCTGAAAGTTTGTTGACCACAGACAATTAGCAACCATCCTACCATATTGGTAAAACTTTGGATTCTCCTTGCTTTGTTTGCTTATTTAGGAGTGATGGCACCATAGGAGAGTGGGAGAGAACCTAGCTATACAAAGGCTGCTGCTAACGTGAAGCTATACTAAGCTCTTAAGGAGTGTCCATATGCCACAACTGGTTCAAATGACATCATATAAATTCAACTCCTGAGGCATGGGAGTACCAGTGCTAAATACTAACAAGAACACATGCTAAAAATACACTAACATACCCAGACCTTTGAGATATATTATTATATACCTATATCAAATAAGTAGAATCAGAAGAACGCCCTTGTGTAAATTTCAAGATATCCCGAAAAAAGAGATTTCATATGAGGGAGGTGGATGGATACAAAAGGTGAACTCCCTCTTTTCTGAATCTCCTACATCCACCAGATATCAAAACAGACTGGAAGATAGTCTTACTGTGGTGCTGGGTATCTCCTCTATCACCTAATACATGTATATAGTGCAAATTTCTGCTATATTAATTATTGTATTTTGCCAAAAATAGTGACCCTATTGTTTTTACCAGGACACAAGGAACAGAGGCAAGAAAGGGTGGAGAGGAGTAAAACATTTGCTTTAAAGTGTTTAAAGATGGATCATTAGCTTTTTTTCCTGAAAATATTGCAAATCGCCAAATGAACACGTTTTGTGTCCGCCACTCTGTTACAGTTTCAAATGTTGATCTTTACGCTACAGTTATTACTGTAGATAAAAATAAAATAACAGCATACCATTTAGTATTCTAATGTACCTGTATATGTGTTCCAGTATCTTTCTAACTTTGGCAGTAAAGCAAACGCATTCATTGCTGCTGAGCGTTTTCATTCGAATGGCGCGCGGAAAGAGCTGTTGAGTGCAGTATCGGTGTTGCATTAATTCCCTCCTTGCATGATGGCCGAAGAAAGGGGAAGCCGAGGCCGCAAGGAAACTGTAAGTTTACCACGTTTTTCTCACAAACAGGCGCCTGTAAAAACATCAAGAGATGGTGCTGGACCTGGTATTACAATTTATATTTATAATTATTGTGTGCATCGTCAAAAGCTGCGACTTAAAAGTTCCAAAGCCCGGTTCCCATATAAAATTCATTTTCAATGTTTTGATTTTGTTGGCGTTAAAAAATCCTCGAAGGCCTTGCTTGCTGAATCAGTAACTCGAGTTTTATCTTTATGGAGTTGTGCTCATTTATAGATGTAGGCATGTGCGTTTGCGTTGCCAGTGAGTTGAACTAACTGCATTAACCTAGCACCGATTTAACCAGTCCACGCCCACACGTCAGTACAATAATACAAGTGTAATTGAATGTTGGCTTTTTTCTTTCCTTGAACCATATTATTATGACACATTTACACAGCAGTTGACAGCTAAACTACCAAAAAAAATCGATACTAATTTATTAAAACTGACGCCTAGGAACCTTCAAGACTGATGTTGTTTATTTTTGCTTGTTTGATGTTGAATAGTATAGTTGTATGTCTGAGTTGTAACATATGATAAAGGGAGTTGTAATTATTTATGTGTGTTATTTGTTGAAAAAATATGTTTATCTGATTGTGCGTGGGTTACTGTGATACAAAGTTTTACCATTACCTTTTCAGTCTGGGCTCCTTATGTCCGTAATTAGAGCTTTGTCATCAAGGTGAGTGATATGTACTGTACATGTTTTTCAGATGTGTTGTTTAAATGCATTATATGCCTTTCTTTTGAACCATAAAGATGTTTACATAATATATCTGCAGTTTTACCAACAATTAACATAAGTGATTTTGTAGCTATTTGCTAAATTAGATTTGTTACAGATATATCTTTGCTAAATTAGATTTGTTACAGATATATCATACAGAGGATATGGTCAAATATATGTTACAGAATGAAAATCTTTTTTCTTAGCTCAAGTCTGGAACAGAGGGAGAAAGAAAAGCAAAGAGTGGAAAAAGAATTTAGAGAAAGTGATAGAAGGCTAGACAATCTTGTAGCAGGTAATATCAAGTCATTTTAATTTTAGAAAATAGGAGATTTAACACAGCAATTTAGAATTTAATAGCTTAATTATTATAGTAATACCAGTAACTTCATTAGTGATGAAAGATTGAATCATTTTACAGTTAAAATTTGAATTTGAACTGAATGTTTTTTTCTTTCAGAAAACTATGAAGATTTGACATCAATTATCAAGGCATTCAGCACAATATCAGACAGAGTGCAAGGTAATATTCAGTGGTCTTTATACCTCTTTTCAGTATTTTTAAAGGTATAAAGAGTGTGCATTTTCCAGATTTTACCGTAGCTGTGAAGTGCATTGTTTTGAAAAGTGATGGAAAAAAATATATATTATTTCTAATTCAGCCTCCCGTGACAGAATTGCCAAAGTAAAAGACAACTTGCTGTCATGTAAGAACTTGCTGCACTGTAAACGAGATGAGCTCCGTAAGTTGTGGATTGAGGGAGTGGAGCAGAGAACTGTGGTGGAGATGATGGAAAGGATGTAAGTTCTCAGTGTTTTTTTCATTCATTGACAGACTTTGTCGTGTTAAGGCAGCCCTGATTTAACCTCACTGACGGAAATGTAATTTAGGAGTCCTAAAAGTGAAGTAGACGTAAACTTTTACGATTGGGTGATGAAGTTTCATACATAGAAGATAATGGGTATTTAAAATACCAGGAATTAGGAGCATGATTTTTGAGTATTTTTGGATGTTTGTTTTTCAGAGAAAATATCAAAGAAGTACCAGAAAAGTTGAATGGATATATGGAGAAAAAGCACTACCTTCATGCAGCTGAACTAATCACAAATGCTGGTGAGTTTTTGAATAAAAAAATTAATTTCAAATCAATCTGCATTGTGAAAAAATATGGAATTTTGCAAATCAGTCATTTATGTATTTACATATAGGAAAATTGACAATACTTTTTTACAGTTTGTTACGGTAATATGCCAAACAATTCGACCAAGATTAATTAATTAATTTCATGGAAATGTCAGTTTGGTCGAATTGATTAAAATACAGCAAATGGAAACCTTTGATATCGTCGGATTGTTAGGGGCATCTGCCAAAACGTCCATCTTACCGGAAGTATTGCATTTTACCGGAAGTGTTACGCAAGATAAGCCGCAATTTTCGCCTAACATGTGTTNTACATTAGATTTGTAAGATATTGAAACAAATATATTACATTTGTTGGATAGATTTAGACCTTTTTGTCCCTATGTTTTCTAGTGTCCCTGCTGGAGGGTGACCTGGTGGAAGTTGAGGGATTGAGAGACTTGAAGGTAGATCTCATCTCAAAGAAAAAGGTGAGTGTTATTTTGTGTTTTTGTTTAAATAATAACATTTAAATTGTTTAAAAAAATAACATTTAAATTTGAGATAATATAAATTTAATTTTCACATATATTTATACCACTTGTGTTCCATTCTTACCAGCACTTATTCGAAGTAATTGTTGATGAGCTTCACACACAAATCTATGTGAAGACCACTGAGGCCAAATTTAATCGTCAAGGCTCTGGGAGGAGGGACAAGAAAGATGGCGGTGGCATACAACGAGCGCTCGTCGGAAAGTTGTCCTCAGGAGGTATGATATCTGGACAACAAGTTGTGAAAATATGACACAAAATAATTAGAAAAGAAATCATAAGTCTTGCTATCTGTGTCATGTTGTTTTCCAAATATTATTTCCATGAGTTAATTAAACAAAAAATGTACACATGGCTTCAGCATGTCTTACAGTGCCATATATATATTTAATTGTCTGAGCATACTGCAGTCACCCTGAGTTTCAGAGATAACTTGCCACTAACCTCTTCACTATAGCCTATCTATGAAGCTCAGGGTGACTGCAGTTTGATCAGGAGCATATACGTTTATTTAAAAATCGTGAAGTTGTTAAAAAACAAGGTTTTGGTTAATCTCCAAGTCTATTTCACAGGTCAGAATGAGCTACAGGTGCCAAGCAGCAGACAGGAGCCCCACCTAGTGGTGGAGGAGCTGGATGTTGACCCGGAGGAGGACCAACCACATTTTATTGGAGTGTTAGTGGAATCTCTGGCCATACTGAAGAGGCTGTCAACAGCAGTGGAGGTAAAGTAGTCATGGTAAAATGTAAAATTGATGGAAAATTTTTAATTGGGAATTGTTTTCCAGTAAATGATATTTTGAATAATACTTTTTGGAGAATCATATTAGAATTTTTTTTATGTTTGTGTAGGAAAATTGTATTTTATTTTAACGAGTTTTATTAAAACATAGTTACTTTTAATTTTGTAGGTTATACGCCATAGAATGAAGCCAGAGCTTTTGGGTCTGATTCACAGAGCTGCTCAGCAAATTGTTGAAATGTAAGATACAGGTTTGATAACTTAAGTTTGTGCCAACAGTAAGTGTACAAAAGTAAACTGTAAGTTGGGTATATTAAACCAAACTGAGATCAACTTGCATATATGTCAGGATTTGTAAATTGTGAAAAAGAAAAATTTAGAGAGCAAAAGTATTATTTATCTGTCACTTTATATTTTGCAATTTTTGAAACACATAATATTTCAGTGCATCCCAGCAAGGAGAGAATGTCTTGAATCAGCATCAACCACGCCATCTACTGGAGCTTCTGGAGCTGGTGATCAAACAGTTCCGCTCTGTGGCTCACACTCACCAGTTGGTGCTACAACACCTCAAGAGAACAACAGTAAGTAGATGTTTAGTTAATTTGTAAAATTTTAAGAAAGTTTGTGTGGCATGTAACTCTTAATGCCCTTTACGTAAGCTTGCATAGCTAGATATTTAACATAAAGTAGACATTTACTTAAACTTATTGGACTTGCTGTGCATCAACTTGTATTGCCTTAAAGCAGTATAAAACATTTTTGAATGAAAGATGTTTCTCCATTTCTTTCAGACATCTGCCTCTCCAGATGAACCAGATATTACACTATATGGCATCGTAGAAGTGTGGGGGAAAATACAGGAAGCAGTAAGTAATGTATTGAGAACTTTACAGGTGGTCTACCTTGATGTCATCTTAAATATTTGGAATGAAGTTTTGTAATTTTTTTTCACAGTAAAAGTTGATCGATCAGTCCAAAACATCTTTTTCTAAAGAATGCAAATTTTTAAAGAATTACACATATTCAATGCAATTTCAATGTTATCCAGATTTAAGCATTTTCAAAGTATGTAACAAAATAGTTTTTAAATTTTTGGAAATAACAACCTAATACATATGTATGTAATAAATCACAAGTACTGATAATGTAATAGTGACCAGTATCCAGTTATGTTAACTGCGCATTTTAACAGTGAAAATAATTTGTTTTCAGCTTCAGATATTTCTTGGGGACTACCTGGACATGCGTAACACAGCAGCCACGCAACAGCAGACAGCCAGCAGCTTTGAGGAGCACACGGACATAGCATCTTATTTTGCCAGGAGGAGAACTGCCAAACCAAAGAAGGTATCGCGTCAACCTTTTATTAACTTTTGAGCTTTGACTGTAAGTAGATTATTTAAACACTGTCTCCCATCAGGCTGACGAATCGAAGCAGACTGCAATTGAACTACATTACCTGCTTGAGAAATGGATTTAAAACGTTAGGTTTTTGCCTATAGACAGTGCGATCGACAGGATATAGAAATAGAGAAGTCTGTATTAGAGCTCTTGCAATACTATAATGATCCACATGGATGTGAAATGGCTATTTTAATATTGCTAACTGTAATATATCATTAAAACAGCACTGGTTTTGCAAGGACATATATGTTAATCTTGAACTGGTATTCATTATTTAACAACAACAAACAATACAAATCTTAAAAAGATATCATATTGTTTTCATTTCAGGCTCCATTGTTTAGATTTGAAGCTTCCTCTCATGCTATTAGCATGCACAGTTACTTTGAAGAGCAGAAGCAGGACTTTTACGGCCCAGTGAGTTGTTAGTCATAAAAAATACTCCCATGAAAAAAATAAATAAAAAAAATTTAATATTAAATAAACAAATCAATAAATTTTAATACTAACATTTACTAATTTAGTCTTATGAATGATAGTAATCTATCAGGTAAGTTGAAATTTGACTCCAACTTTTAGGTTGAGGCCATGCCCAGTAGCCCAACAAGGGGAGCTCCATATAAACAGACATTTGTTTGTAAGCCTACAGCCAACAACATTACAGGTAAGATGTCAAAATTATGATTTCCTCTTTCATTTTATTAAACATGATAAATATTTTCTAGCATTTTTTAGAGTTGACAATCACCACATATCATGTTTTTAGTTTTATTTGGAAGCACTGTATTTTCTGTATAATTTCAGCCATCTACAATCCCCTACAACAATTCATACAAGAGATTGAGGCTGCCACTGGGTGTCAGGCAGGGTAAGATGTGTGTGCGTGTATGCAAGGGTGGTTGGACTAACGATGTTTTATTACCTCCGCCAAGGTGGTTATATTTTCACCCCTGTTTGTCTGTTTGTTTGTCTGTCATCAACATAACTCAAAAAGTCATGGGCCGATTTTGATGAAATTTTCAGGAACTGCCAGAAGTGGGCCAAGGAAGAGATGAGTAGTTTTTGATGGTGATCCGCATCAATTATCAATCAATAATCAATAATAATCAAAAATCTCTGCCTTGGTGGTGGTCTGCACTCTCGGAGTGCCTCTCTAGTTAACCAAAAGATTGATACATAAACATGCATATCTTTTGTATCATACATTCAGAATTTTTACTTGTGTGGATTTTAATAATACAGTAATGCATAAATTGTATAGGTTTATTTCTCTATCATCATATTCCAATGTGTATATTATTTCATTATTTGAACAGAACAAAATGTGGGTAAGAAGAAAGATCTTGTTGGGCGTACTTTAGTTTTATGAGTGTCTTGCATACTTTGAATTTGAGAAAATAATTTTTATGTACAGACACAGATGTGTCTGTACATATTGCCATCACCTGCGTCTGTCGTCGCCGATGGCGATGCCGATGTCGATGCCGGCGCCGTGCACTTTCCTTGTAAACACGATAAGTGGAGGGCAGTTTTACTTTTTGGCTTTATATTTACAGAGCTGATGAATATTCATAAAACGCAGGTCAAGTTCGAAAATCAGCATGATCAGGCCATTATTGTAGAAGTTATGCTGTTTTTTCACTTTTCAGCATATTTTTCACGTTTCCTCAGATTCAATTCTTAGGCATGTTAACAGTTNAGTGTGACCTTGAAATTGACCTTTGACCTACTTATTATCATGAACTGAACTCTGTTAATTTCTTTCTCTTTTAACTCCAAACCTGGCAGAGATAGGCCCATAGTTACTATTGAAGTTGAATAGGAAGTCATATACTGGCAATTTACTGTGACCTTGGAATTGACCTTTGACCTACCTTACGATGAACTTAACTTTGATCGTACCATTTTTAGTAATATATATATTTTTTGCATATTTTGAAAATTCTTGTTGATTGCATTTTTACAGCTTGTCAAGCACAAGACTGGTGGCTGTGTTCCTTATTTTGTATATGTGGGAGTCTATACGAATGCGCTTGCTCCAGCTGGTGGTACAATATTCGGAGGCGGTATCGCCTCTCTGATCCTCTAGTTATTATAGTAATACCAGTAACTTCATTAGTGATGAAAGATTGAATCATTTTACAGTTAAAATTTGAATTTGAACTGAATGTTTTTTTCTTTCAGAAAACTATGAAGATTTGACATCAATTATCAAGGCATTCAGCACAATATCAGACAGAGTGCAAGGTAATATTCAGTGGTCTTTATACCTCTTTTCAGTATTTTTAAAGGTATAAAGAGTGTGCATTTTCCAGGTTTTACCGTAGCTATGAAGTGCATTGTTTTGAATAGTGATGGAAAAAAATATATATTATTTCTAATTCAGCCTCCCGTGACAGAATTGCCAAAGTAAAAGACAACTTGCTGTCATGTAAGAACTTGCTGCACTGTAAACGAGATGAGCTCCGTAAGTTGTGGATTGAGGGAGTGGAGCAGAGAACTGTGGTGGAGATGATGGAAAGGATGTAAGTTCTCAGTGTTTTTTTCATTCATTGACAGACTTTGTCGTATTAAGGCAGCCCTGATTTAACCTCACTGACGGAAATGTAATTTAGGAGTCCTAAAAGTGAAGTAGACGTAAACTTTTACGATTGGGTGATGAAGTTTCATACATAGAAGATAATGTGTATTTAAAATACCAGGAATTAGGAGCATGATTTTTGAGTATTTTTGGATGTTTGTTTTTCAGAGAAAATATCAAAGAAGTACCAGAAAAGTTGAATGGATATATGGAGAAAAAGCACTACCTTCATGCAGCTGAACTAATCACAAATGCTGGTGAGTTTTTGAATAAAAAAATTAATTTCAAATCAATCTGCATTGTGAAAAAATATGGAATTTTGCAAATCAGTCATTTATGTATTTACATATAGGAAAATTGACAATACTTTTTTACAGTTTGTTACATTAGATTTGTAAGATATTGAAACAAATATATTACATTTGTTGGATAGATTTAGACCTTTTTGTCCCTATGTTTTCTAGTGTCCCTGCTGGAGGGTGACCTGGTGGAAGTTGAGGGATTGAGAGACTTGAAGGTAGATCTCATCTCAAAGAAAAAGGTGAGTGTTATTTTGTGTTTTTGTTTAAATAATAACATTTAAATTGTTTAAAAAAATAACATTTAAATTTGAGATAATATAAATTTAATTTTCACATATATTTATACCACTTGTGTTCCATTCTTACCAGCACTTATTCGAAGTAATTGTTGATGAGCTTCACACACAAATCTATGTGAAGACCACTGAGGCCAAATTTAATCGTCAAGGCTCTGGGAGGAGGGACAAGAAAGATGGCGGTGGCATACAACGAGCGCTCGTCGGAAAGTTGTCCTCAGGAGGTATGATATCTGGACAACAAGTTGTGAAAATATGACACAAAATAATTAGAAAAGAAATCATAAGTCTTGCTATCTGTGTCATGTTTTTTTCCAAATATTATTTCCATGAGTTAATTAAACAAAAAATGTACACATGGCTTCAGCATGTCTTACAGAGCAATATATATATTTAATTTTCTGAGCATACTGCAGTTTGATCAGGAGCATATACGTTTATTTAAAAATAGTGAAGTTGTTAAAAAACAAGGTTTTGGTTAATCTCCAAGTCTATTTCACAGGTCAGAATGAGCTACAGGTGCCAAGCAGCAGACAGGAGCCCCACCTAGTGGTGGAGGAGCTGGATGTTGACCCGGAGGAGGATCAACCACATTTTATTGGAGTGTTAGTGGAATCTCTGGCCATACTGAAGAGGCTGTCAACAGCAGTGGAGGTAAAGTACTGTAGTCATGGTAAAATGTAAAATTGATGGAAAATTTTTAATTGGGAATTGTTTTCCAGTAAATGATATTTTGAATAATACTTTTTGGAGAATCATATTAGAATTTTTTTTATGTTTGTGTAGGAAAATTGTATTTTAGTTTAACTAGTTTTATTAAAACATAGTTACTTTTAATTTTGTAGGTTATACGCCATAAAATGAAGCCAGAGCTTTTGGGTCTGATTCACAGAGCAGCTCAGCAAATTGTTGAAATGTAAGATACAGGTTTGATAACTTAAGTTTGTGCCAACAGTAAGTGTACAAAAGTAAACTGTAAGTTGGGTATATTAAACCAAACTGAGATCAACTTGCATGTATGTCAGGATTTGTAAATTGTGAAAAAGAAAAATTTAGAGAGCAAAAGTATTACTTATCTGTCACTTTATATTTTGCAATTTTTGAAACACATAATATTTCAGTGCATCCCAGCAAGGAGAGAATGTCTTGAATCAGCACCAACCACGCCATCTACTGGAGCTTCTGGAGCTGGTGATCAAACAGTTCCGCTCTGTGGCTCACACTCACCAGTTGGTGCTACAACACCTCAAGAGAACAACAGTAAGTAGATGTTTAGTTAATTTGTAAAATTTTAAGAAAGTTTGTGTGGTATGTAACTCTTAATGCCCTTTACGTAAGCTTGCATAGCTAGATATTTAACATAAAGTAGACATTTACTTAAACTTATTGGACTTGCTGTGCATCAACTAGTATTGCCTTAAAGCAGTATAAAACATTTTTGAATGAAAGATGTTTTTCCATTTCTTTCAGACATCTGCCTCTCCAGATGAACCAGATATCACACTATATGGCATCGTAGAAGTGTGGGGGAAAATACAGGAAGCAGTAAGTAACGTATTGAGAACTTTACAGGTGGTCTACCTTGATGTCATCTTAAATATTTGGAATGAAGTTTTGTAATTTTTTTTCACAGTAAAAGTTGATCGATCAGTCCAAAACATCTTTTTCTAAAGTATGCAAATTTTTAAAGAATTACACATATTCAATGCAATTTCAATGTTATCCAGATTTAAGCATTTTCAAAGTATGTAACAAAATAGTTTTTAAATTTTTGGAAATAACAACCTAATACATATGTATGTAATAAATCACAAATACTGATAATGTAATAGTGACCAGTATCCAGTTATGTTAACTGCGCATTTTAACAGTGAAAATAATTTGTTTTCAGCTTCAGATATTTCTTGGGGACTACCTGGACATGCGTAACACAGCAGCCACGCAACAGCAGACAGCCAGCAGCTTTGAGGAGCACACGGACATAGCATCTTATTTTGCCAGGAGGAGAACTGCAAAACCAAAGAAGGTATCGCTGACCTTTTATTAACTTTTGAGCTTTGACTGTAAGTAGATTATTTAAACACTGTCTCCCATCAGGCTGATGAATCGAAGCAGACTGCAATCTCTTGAACTACATTACCTGCTTGAGAAATGGATTTAAAACGTTAGATTTTTGCCTATAGACAGTGCGATCGACAGGATATAGAAATAGAGAAGTCTGTATTAGAGCTCTTGCAATACTATAATGGTCCACATGGATGTGAAATGGCTATTTTAATATTGCTTAATGTAATATATCATTAAAACAGCACTGGTTTTGCAAGGACATATATGTTAATCTTGAACTGGTATTCATTATTTAACAACAACAAACAATACAAATCTTAAAAAGATATCATATTGTTTTCATTTCAGGCTCCATTGTTTAGATTTGAAGCTTCCTCTCATGCTATTAGCATGCACAGTTACTTTGAAGAGCAGAAGCAGGACTTTTACGGCCCAGTGAGTTGTTAGTCATAATAATTAAAAAATACTCCCATGAAAAAAATAAATAAATAAAAAATTTAATATTAAATAAACAAATCAATAAATTTTAATACTAACATTTACTAATTTAGTCTTATGAATGATAGTAATCTATCAGGTAAGTTGAAATTTGACTCCAACTTTTAGGTTGAGGCCATGCCCAGTAGCCCAACAAGGGGAGCTCCATATAAACAGACATTTGTTTGTAAGCCTACAGCCAACAACATTACAGGTAAGATGTCAAAATTATGATTTCCTCTTTCATTTTATTAAACATGATAAATATTTTCTAGCATTTTTTAGAGTTGACAATCACCACAAATCATGTTTTTAGTTTTATTTGGAAGCACTGTATTTTCTGTATAATTTCAGCCATCTACAATCCCCTACAACAATTCATACAAGAGATTGAGGCTGCCACTGGGTGTCAGGCAGGGTAAGATGTGTGTGCGTGTATGCAAGGGTGGTTGGACTAACGATGTTTTATTACCTCCGCCAAGGTGGTTATATTTTCACCCCTGTTTGTCTGTTTGTTTGTCTGTCATCAACATAACTCAAAAAGTCATGGGCCGATTTTGATGAAATTTTCAGGAACTGCCAGAAGTGGGCCAAGGAAGAGATGAGTAGTTTTTGATGGTGATCCGCATCAATTATCAATCAATAATCAATAATAATCAAATATCTCTGCCTTGGTGGTGGTCTGCACTCTCGGAGTGCCTCTCTAGTTAACCAAAAGATTGATAATCATACATTCAGAATTTTTACTTGTGTGGATTTTAATAATACAGTAATGTATAAATTATATAGGTTTATTTCTCTATCATCATATTCCAATGTGTATATTATGTCATTATTTGAACAGAACAAAAAAGATCTTGTTGGGCGTACTTTAGTTTTATGAGTGTCTTGAATACTTTGAATTTGAGAAAATAATTTTTATTATTTCCAGTGCGTCTCCACTGCAATCTTTCATCACAGAGTTTGTGAAGAAAACATTTTTGGGACAGGTGCATTACAATATCATGAGTGATATTGCCACAGCAACCAAAGGTAAATGGTGCATGTATATCATGCTTTATATAATCATCTTAATCATCTAATTAACACTTTTCACTTCAGAGATTATGTTTTGGTGGAGGTATTGTATATTTTTCTGTATCATAACCCTTTCTGTAACTGACTGATATACTGAGCCTAGAAACTAAAGTTAGTTATTTCAGAATGTGGGTTATCTCTTGTATTTTATCAAGTCATTTGCTCAAGACATTCCACATTCAGTTTTGGATAATTGGGTTTCTGACTTCAAAATAAATTGTGCCCTAATTCTCTGTCAAATATGTTGATGGGGTTTCTTACTTGTTTTGTAATGTTCTATCCTTCTCTTGTATAGGAACTGAGGGAAAGGGTAAAGGCATGATTGTAATGTCTGTTTCTTTAATATCTTCATCCTTTGCCTGAAACTTACTGTTTTCATTGTGTGTTATCAATGTGTTTTTTATTTAATATATTGAGACATGTTTGCAGAATAAGAGTTTTCTAAACTGTTATACTTTAGGTTAGTTGGCTTGCCTTATAGCATGCAAGTTCTTGGTTTTCAGCTATAAAATTGAATTTGTCCACTGATTGAATAACTTATGTATGAAAACCAGCCTAAGTAGCTTCATTTTTAGAGGTTAGTTACTGGAATAAACCTACACTTTTACAGATATGAAAAAAATCATATAACTATTATGTACTTTTACCTCAAAACCTAGAAGTGTAGGATTTGCATCTGTTTCAATAACATCTCTGTTTGTAAGCTTGTAGTCGAGTAAAAAATGAACCAATCTAAAGGATGCTTACTTTACCAATTTAAATTGGTATTTACTTGCTTGTTTAGCATGCAACGAAATCATTTACAAAGGATTGGTGTGAATAATGAAAATTGATAATATTATGACAAATATTTTTTACATTTTCATAGTTTTACAGATGATTTCATTTGATTATTAATGTTTTTTTCCAGATATTTTCTTCATTATCTTGATACATTTTTGATTGAATAAATAACTATTCATTTGGTTCAGTAATATTTGCTATTTTGTTTCATATATGCTCCGTATCATTTACAAATTTTAAGTTTGGGGAAATGTACCGGGAATGTCATGTTAGTGTTGTTTATGATAACCTTGTACATAAATTTTCAATAAAGAAAAAAAAATTGCATGGTATTAAAGCCCATCTGTGATGTGTTTTAGGCAATTCATGAGGAGTTGTATAATAATTGTGTTGACTATTTATTTGGCCATATCTAGCCGTTCATTTGCTAGATTGTAGTGTAAGTGTCAGATTATGCTGCCTTGAAAAGTTTAAAAGTGAGAAAAAGACATAGAGAGGGTGGGGGATAGAATTTTACTGTTTCTCTTTTGCTATTAACAACATAAAATATATAAAACTACTGCTTTGCATATATCAAAAGAGTGGATATGATTTCAGGTTTTGATGCCATGCGGTTTGTTACTGATCAGAAGACTCAGAAAGAACTAAATGTTCCCAAGCCTCTGCTACAGGTAATTATTTGTGAATGGAGATTTTTGAGATTTCAAGGTTTATCATCTGAAATGATTGTGGTAGCTTCTGCTGCACATACACTGTACCTTAGAAGGTTATGTCACTTGAAATTAGTACAACTGACAATTTGAAGACAGTCACGTATTTCACATGGCAACAAGTGTAATTTTTCTAACGTATATCATGCGATTACATAAATGACATTTTAACATCTTAATTATACAGCTGATCGTAGAAGAAAACATATCTACACTGTTAACATCACAATTTCAGAGCTTATTATATACAGACGTCCAATACTGTTAGCAATGTCATGATTTCAGAGCTGATTACAGATGTAAAGACTACCTTAACTGTTAACATTACCACAAATTCAGAGTTGAATATAGATGTATATTTTACCTATATTGCTAACATTGTCACAATTTCAGAGCTTTCAAGCAATTAAAGAGCATTATATAAAGAGTCATAGACTATATATACTGTAAATATTACCACAATTTCAGAGCACTGTGGCAGTGTACAGCTGTATCCAGGATCTTCACCATCTGATGCAGGATCTGCCAGACTATGGAGACCAGTTCTTGGATCTCATAGGAAAGATACTGAAAGATTACAAGGACACTTGTCAAATGGCCTACATAGGTGAGTACAGTACACAGTGGCAAAAAAGTCTTTTAATTTTAAAAACATTTACTAAGGGATCAGTATTGGAAGTGGCTGTTTTGAAGATCTTTAAGAGATGTTTGAGCATTCACTGGATGTATTTATGATCTTGAATGTAATTAAGATTGTTATGATTACTTTTCTTAGTCATTTGTTTTTAACATTTGATCTATTGAAAAAACTTGAATGTCTTTATACTTCAATAACAGATATAGTGCAGCCTGATTCTGAGGATAACCGTATCATTAGTGCTATGTGGGCCAAAGATGAAGATATCAGTAGGTTACTCAGGTGAGACAGGTGTTTGATATTATAATTATACTTACAAATGTTTGATTTGATTTAATTAAAAGTTGTTCCAAAACAACTTGGATTAAACTGGAATTATTTGTCATCAAGTAGTTTGTAATAATATAACATACTGTCAAGTGTTGTAGGTATGAACACAATAGAAAAGCTTGAAAGTTGAAGTAACTGCCATTAAGAAGTGGGCTCTTGTACTTTGATTAAATGTATGACTATTCTAAAAAGAAAAATACATTGAAGCATTTTCTTTCTCTCAGGTCCCTGCCAAACTGGCTGTACCTGCAGAATGAAAAGGAACTTAAGCCAGTGGATCTGCATTTCTCAGAGGCAGATATGAGAGCCATGAATTCCAAGGAGTCTGAGATCCTCACTGGAAATCTGTCTTCCTCCGAGACTACCATTCCACTCCATGAGATTATTTCTGACTCCTCACAGCTTAGAACACTGGGGAACCTGCACGAGAGTCTGGTAAGGCTAATGATAATAGACAGTAACAGAGGCTCAACCATTATATATCATATGATACACTGATATGTCTACAATAAATACTTTGTTGAATACTGTACAATGGCCCAAAACCCATGCTGTTAGTAAATGTCTTTTTCAGTATTTTTTCAGTGTCTAACTGAAAATGTACTAACTTAAAATGTTTTTTCTAACAGGAATGGTTTTCAAACAAAATGAAAGAATTTGTCCATAATCTGCCAGCTTCACCAAGAGTAGCTGTTGGGAAGGTGAGTATGGTGGTGATTTGAGTTTTTCTATCAATAAGGTTGTGACATATTTTTGGAAGTTTGTGATTCAGAATCATACCAGCCAATTACGATATTTACTTTCAATTTTATTTTATTGCCTTTCTTCAAAGTGGATCATGGAATTGTTACAAAGTTCATATTTACAGACAAATATAAATAATTTTTTCTTTCTTTTAGGGATGTCAGTTCTCTAAAGAAACAATGCAGTAAGTACAAACATTTGAACTGTAAAATGTTTTGAAATTAGTTTATATACTATGCATTTTTATAAATATTTCAAAAATTGCCAAGTAAAATAGATTTTGGATATTTTGCCACATATCATATGTGGCATTCTTTTATATTACAAAAAAAAGATTAATAAATTTCTGAGTTTATAGAAAGAAACCGTTTTAGATCCACTAGTGTTACACATAAAGAATAATTAATACGTACATTTTGGCAGGAACAGTGCTCTAACTTAAATTGTATGTTAATTTTCAGGTCTCTTCTCACCCTAGCTCAAGATTTCCAGGAGTTGGCAGATATGTGTTTGTTGGTGCTACATTTAGAAGTTCGTGTTCACTGCTTTTACTACATTATTCCAGTGGCAAAATCGGTAAGCTGTGCACAAACTATGAATTTTTTTAAGGGTTTTGAACCATGGCTATCAATGTATTGTTAGTAACGTTTTTGAATGATAGCTTCCAAAGAAATCTCTCAACTTTGTCATAATAAGGATGAAGACAGTCACTGTAATGATCTTACAAAATGGCTTTTAAATTTTGCCATATATGTCAAAAGTAATCTATTCCAAACGCCAACAGAGTGATGATGTTAACTGAATGCTATGCAAAATTCACATTGGACAGTATAGTGACTATCTAGTGAAAAAAAATTCTCTAGGTGACATTGGAAAACCGTAAAGTCATGAGAGTTTTCAACTCGCTAAGAAGTTTTCATAGTGATTACCTTCAAAGTTATTTCAATTAAAATTCTGAATTGTATTTCAGTCCAACTACTCTGGTGCTTTAGATGACATGGACCCTGACGCCAATGTGCTAAAACTAAACAAAGATTTGACAGGTATCGAGGAGGCCATGTCGCAGAGTCTGCAGCCACGGAAGTTCATGTAAGACACTTTTATAGTTTTAAGGTTCTTGATTTGAATGTTTTAATTAAAATAGTGTGTAATTAAAGTGTAAATTTGATTTTGCTGCAATCGATAGAATGTCATGGTTAATTTGTTGAATGCTGATACCATAATATAAGTAGGTTTTGTGCTTGAGTGCTTACTTACATCTCATGACCAACAACTATCCATGCAAGTAGCTTTCTAGTATTTTTTCTCTGGAACCAGGTATATATTTGATGGTCTTGGACACCTGATTGCCACCCTCCTGATCAGCAGTGCACAGTTCCTCACTAGGATCAATGAGAATGGAATTAAGAAGATGTAAGTACAGCATACAATAAAACCAGTAAACAATAGTCAATGTAAAATGTAAGAAGTGAGGTTGCTGGAATTGTATAAAGAAGCTTATGTGGGGAATTTGAAAGAGGTTAAAAAAAGACAATGGAGTTATTGGGTAAAAGTATGTATGCATCCAATCCCTGGATTCTAATGCTCCCTCCAACTTACAGACTAGTAGCATGGTTTTAGATATTGTTATGTTTGTATGATCAACAGGTTGCCATTGTTTTCTACAGGTGCAGGAATATCTTTGCCATGCAGCAGAATCTGAGCAACATCACCTCCTCTAGAGAAGTTGATCTAGACAGAGCGCGCCAGTATTATGAACTGCTACATTTAAGCCTCGAGGTGGGTAATTTTTAAATTTATACATTCTTATTCATAGTAATTTGTGTTTACATAAATACGGATTGTGTCGGTCAATACCAAAATAAGGTTAACTTGTGGGACATTGCTTTTATTGGTAATTTATTTATTACTATTATTTTTTAACAGGAGATCTTAACATCTATAGTGGAACAGGGTCCTCAGTTCTCCGAGTTGGAGTATACCCACATCTTCAGCCTAAGGCAAAGGAGCAGACCAGGAAGTGATCCCAAAGTTTTCAAAGGGAAATTAGACAAACTGAAAGAAGTTTTGAGAGAGCATCACGTGTAGCCTTTTGAGGTCTTTAATTTTATTCATCAAACCTTCGGATTTAACTTGAAGAACGCCTTGTATGTGCTTGATTAAATTTTGCACACCATTTTTATAACTGTCACTTTTTCTGTGCAAGATTGAAATCCTCTTGTCAGATTGGGGCAATTTACGTCTACAGCATACAAGAAGTGGCGATCCTCAGCTCATATTTGTGGATGTTAAATCTACAGAACTCAACAAGATCAAACAACAAGATTGCATCAAAGTGAAGATCATGGTTACGAATAGGCATGCTGTTGCATGGATTTACAATTTTGTTTTACAGTTACTTCATTGTAGGGTTGAAAAAAGTTGCAAATTGTTGTATAATGTGTGCTATCCAGTATGATGAAGCCCTTTTTAAGGGCAGAATGTCACTGGAACTGCATTCCTACCATGTTTCTAGTATAGTCAGGCGGTTAAGTCCAAATTATATCCAGAATTGTGCAAAAGATGATAAAAGCATGAAACTTTCCACGATGAATGACCATTGGGTGTTTGTCAATTTTGGATCGGGGGGCAACTCCAATATTCACAAGTACCCGGATGAGCGGCTCTCTTAAATATGCTGACTCAGCATTTTATGTACATTCAGATTTCACCAAAACGAGTACTACCAGCACTAATTATGATATCATAAATAGATTTTAAAAACGTACGCTCACTGTGCACATCAATGAGACCAAAGGTGACGTCACAATGACGTCACTGGGTGATACTGCACAATATAGAATGACAAATATCCACTTTCGCCCATAGGAACAATAGTTGAACCCTAAAATGTTTCTTTCTCGTAATTTTNGTGGGTAATTTTTAAATTTATACATTCTTATTCATAGTAATTTGTGTTTACATAAATACGGATTGTGTCGGTCAATACCAAAATAAGGTTAACTTGTGGGACATTGCTTTTATTGGTAATTTATTTATTACTATTATTTTTTAACAGGAGATCTTAACATCTATAGTGGAACAGGGTCCTCAGTTCTCCGAGTTGGAGTATACCCACATCTTCAGCCTAAGGCAAAGGAGCAGACCAGGAAGTGATCCCAAAGTTTTCAAAGGGAAATTAGACAAACTGAAAGAAGTTTTGAGAGAGCATCACGTGTAGCCTTTTGAGGTCTTTAATTTTATTCATCAAACCTTCGGATTTAACTTGAAGAACGCCTTGTATGTGCTTGATTAAATTTTGCACACCATTTTTATAACTGTCACTTTTTCTGTGCAAGATTGAAATCCTCTTGGTCAGATTGGGGCAATTTACGTCTACAGCATACAAGAAGTGGCGATCCTCAGCTCATATTTGTGGATGTTAAATCTACAGAACTCAACAAGATCAAACAACAAGATTGCATCAAAGTGAAGATCATGGTTACGAATAGGCATGCTGTTGCATGGATTTACAATTTTGTTTTACAGTTACTTCATTGTAGGGTTGAAAAAAGTTGCAAATTGTTGTATAATGTGTGCTATCCAGAATGATGAAGCCCTTTTTAAGGGCAGAATGTCACTGGAACTGCATTCCTACCATGTTTCTAGTAGTAAGTTCTACACCATTATCAGTCAGTGTCAGAACACTGGAGGCTGGTACAGAAAAACATTCTTCCTCATTAGACACTTGGAATGTCATTCAGAACAAAATGACCATAATGACTTTTCTTCTCTTGTTAATTAATATTTGTGGTCACGTGTATGTATTTAAGGCATTGCTAGCTCTTTATTTCAATTTTAAAAGTGTACTATGTGAAAAGCCCCTTCACTAGAGACATTAATAAGCTGAACAGTAACTTTACGGAAAAAAATATGGAATTTGGTTTTATAATAACAAATAAAAAATCAAACAAATACAACTGTCAACATGTTTAATGTTTGAACAACTATTTTTTGAAAACGCATTGCGTCGTATATAGTTTTGTGAGGTTAACCTGAATTCAATGTAGGATAAGCATTAATGCATTTTAACACAACAGATAAAAAAAACGTTAAGGGAAGTGCTATACATTTGTACCACTTTTCAAATTACAGAAGTGAACACATATGTAACCCTTACTATATGTATGTAGCTTCATATCTATGTTTGTACATTACTTACACTTGAAACGTGCAGAATTTCAAAAACCATAATTACAATCAACTAAAATAATTACAAGAAACACACCTACGTTTATTCAATCATTAGCAAGAATGCTGCTCCCCCCCCCCAAAAAAAAAAAGGATTGGCACATCTTTTCCATCTCTCTTACCTAATCTCCTGAAATGCAGAAAAGTTTTTTCAGTATTTCCCTTCCTCTTAGATAATCACCCAGTTGTACTTTCCTGTTTTATAGGTCTTTTTTTATTTTTAATTTTCTGTTTCGGAAGTCGAGATAATTTTGTAAATGTGTCTGGAAAGTGCCATATAGAAATCATGAAGGGATGATGCAGCTTTATATTTAACACATATTTGTACATAATTTACACTTGAAATATGTTTAATTTTTTGCTTAACGAAAATAATTACAAGAAACTTGTAAGAAACATCATGATTACAACAAAATTTGTATGTATGCAAGTTCAATGATCAATTAAGTTTTTCTTTTAATGACTAGTATTGACACTTCTTTTCTATATGATACTTTACAAGTTTCCTACCTTCTCTCTTAAAATTTAAGTTTTTTTTCTACGATATCCCTGCCGCTTGAATGATCATCAAGTCCTTTTCTTAGTTTCCTTTACATTTTTTTCAATTGATGTTGTTTTTCTCTTTTTTTTTTAGTAATTTTCTCTATAAGATATCTTTCTTATTTCTAATTTTCTGTTGTGAGTGCCCAGGTTATTTTGTAAATCATCTGTCAGGGAAGTGCCATACAGAAGTTATGGAAGGATGACGCTTTATATTCTGCACCATTTAGCATGGTAAAATTAATTGCTTAAGCTTCCAGTTAAGCAAACCTCATGCAACATAACTTGGACGGCACAAACAGCAGCTGCATTTGGGTAGCAGCAGTGGAAAGTCCTTTTTTTTCCAAACACTTGGAATTTTCACATTATCTTCTCTTTCCGTTATTCATCTTGGAAAGACCTCTTGGAGAAAATGTGAAAAAAAAAAAAGATAATATATCAGATTTTGATACATTATCTAAGCTCTTGTTGGTACTTCCCACTTTAACTGAGGGAGACCCAGCATCACCTTAGCTCAATCACAGCAGACATCAATATGTTCCAACAGTTCAGTGTGTTGTTCAGTTCTGTAAGCTTTTTGGCATTTTGGACACTCTAGAAAGTCTGAGCTTTGTTTTCCTTGGGGAATGGGACCGTCCACCATGTCAAAACCATCTATTTCATCAAAGCCACCCTCTGGTTCCTGTGTATCATCTTCATCGTCACCGTCAGCAACCACATTACTGTCCATATATAGGTTACCAGCTCTAGGGTAGTTCCCACCCCGTGCAACTAAACCTTGGTTCTGGAAAAGAAACAAACAGTGCATGTTATACTATGATCTTTTTGTTTTATTTTTAAATAATTAATTAATTATTTATTTATTTATCTATTTTTTTTAAGAGTGAAGTGTCTTTTCTTTGAATATTACAGTTATTATAGAACTAGTTCATATCTGATTCAGTGCACTGCAAATATCTTCCTTTTACAATACCACATTTTTTACTTTATAATTTGCTTTGGAAATGAAAAGCAAAACATCATACAATTTCCTGTATTTAACTGCTTGGTCATTACACAAGACTTGACTGAAAGGGAAATCCACGAATGTATGCAGGAAATGCAAAGTCACCACTTCCTTTAAACTCATGAAATTTGGTACAAAAAGATCCAGATTCACAAGAATATACTTACATGTTGGTTATAGTATTGTCTTTCATACTCCTGTAAGGCTTCCTGTCGTCTTCTTTGCATGGATGTCATAGCATCTCTTTGAAACATTTCCAACTGCAAAACAGAAAATCAAAAATATATACATTTGCACAACACCATACATATACTGCTTATCACTTGACAGCTTTAAATGGAATACACTGTCAGTTTATAAAAACATCTAAAAAATTTAATGAAATAATATTGACTACAAAACAAATAACAACCATATACAATCCATATTATTAAACATTTACAATCATCTAGACAAACAAGAAGCTCACTAACGGCGCACATTTACCTGTTGTTTCACAATACGTAATTCATCCTCCAGTTCGTGGACTTTCCCCTGAGCCGTCTCTCTGTCACGCCTTTCTTGTTCAAAGTCATCTTTGAAGATCTGGATCTGTGTTTTCAGAATGTCGACATCGTCCCCACTCTGTGAGGCCCTGCTGTATTGGGCCTGGTGCTCTAATTCATCAACCCTGGCTGTCAGAGCTTGCACAGTCTCCCTAAGAGCTACTTTTTCTCTCCTTTCTGCCATCAGCTCTTCCTCCACCTAAAGGTATCATAGAGGATTTAAACCCCACAAATGCAAATGACAATTGCATTATCAAAAAATAAGGTGGGTTCTCATGCAATACAAAATGCCAGGATTCTTTTGCATGCATCTTAGCAATTCTGGTTTCATAATTATAATATAAACACACACACACACCTTCTGCTTCTCATCTTCAGCATTCTGTAGCTTCTGCTTGTACTTCAACAGCATGGCATCAACAGCTTTTTGTTGGTTTTCTGACATGGCAGCTGTTGGGTCTATGTGCTGGTGCTTTAATCTGGTCTCAAGTTCAGAACAGTCTTGTTGAACCTTTCTTACGTACTGTTCTCTCTGTTCGTTATAATTCTGCCACCGCTGGTTCATAGAAGCCACCTGCAGATGAGGCACATCCATGATTAGATGGATTAGCATATAAATGTGTGCCCACATATAAAGTACATTAATTTACTAAATACATTTATTCTATTCCTTGACAAAAACCCAAGTTGCATCCTATTCTAGCCATGTGTGTCACTCCCAATCGCATATCATTAAGATGAGTCATAGTCAGAAATAGCATAATTTATATGAAAATGTATTAACAGCGCACAACACAGTATATTTGTTACAACACCACTGAATATCATACTAAAATAACATGCTGTATATGATTTGTACAGTGATTAACTTGAGCTGTGTTCATTCCCCCTTCCAGCCAACTCACCTCCTTCAGTTGTGTCTCAAGCTGTGCTATTCTTCTCTTCAGACTGTCTACGTCAGCATCAATCTGCCCACTTCCACCTGCAGACTGGAGAAAAGAGCAAAAATTGATTTTTGTTGCTTTCATGCGGCCAATCATGTTCTACCACGAAACACAATCAATATATGCACATTAGCATGTCAATGCAATGCCCTGGAAAGCACTGCAAGCAAATAACTCTGTATTAACAAAATTTAAAGAAATATCACACTGAAAAATATACTCACTTCGACACTTCTCTCTAATTTCATGTTTTCCTTTTTTTCCATGAGTAGTTAAAACACAAAATGTTTGCAGCCGTTTGACATTTTCATCTTATTCAATTTTATCTTGTTTCGTTTTCAAGCATTTACGTCATTCAACTCTTTATAGGCACCGGAAAATCCCAGTGTTGCTATTTCGATTCTATTCCCACAAAGCAAGACCTTTTATGGTAATTGCTTGTCAGTTTTCTTACTTCTTGAAAGGTTATTTATTTGACCCTGCTTTAGAAAATTTATATCTTTTAACTTAATTAAAAGTCAAAATGTGGTTTCCAAGCACTTGGCACTCTGCCTGTTTACTGTACCATAACAACAATGCTGTAGCACTATAGACTACAATAATTTCAGGTCATCCTCTAATGAGTATTACTAAGGAATGCAGATTTATAAAGTTTTGTATAGAAAAGTATTCTTTATCCCTAAGGCCACTAAGTAATAGTCACACACACACACAGCACTCACCTCCAAAAATAGATGTATGACGGTTTAGAAGTTTATACTGAGAGCTAATTCTCTGCAATTTTGTCCAAGGGAGGTGCTTTCTTACATTTTTTTTCCTTTGAATCACATTAGTTAATAAATTACAGGGGTGTTTTTTTTTTCATATTTTCTTTATATTGCAAATCTTACAAACATTTTATCAAGTTTATTCATCTGATAATCATAAACAAAGTTGGGTCCTTAAACTGGTTTAAAGTTCCTTAAAGATAAGAACAGATAAATCTACAAAGTAAATTGTTAGTCTTGGCACTGCCAACCACATTACTAACCACTTTTATTCATATAGATAAACCTACTTCCTGGTTGATGCAGGTAAGTGCGAGGTGAAGCACTTGTTTTATGCTACCTCCATATAAACTCTACATATAAATTAATTTGTGCTGCTTGTGGTTTCTTACTATATCCCACACCTTGTCTTAATGAAAGTGTAATACCCACCCGTATTTTACCTTTCATCTCACATATAACTTTAACATTTTGATGATAAAAACATTTGGCACTTTATATACATTTGTTCCATCCTGCCAATCCTCTTATTACAATTTTTTTATGTACTCTCTGGGACTTTTTTTTCTGCATTAACAAGGAAGTATTGCTATTCCCCAATTATTGTAAATTTTAGGTCAAGTGCAAAGGTGAAAATTATTTTAAAACTTACAGGCTTTCTACAATTTTCCACAGATCTTTCTCTTTCTCCCAGCTGCTGTGCCAAGCGCTGACACTCCTCTGCAGTTTCCTTCAGCCTCTTTTTTAGGTTATTGGTTTCTTCTGACAGGGACTGACATAAAACATCCTGCGTCAAACTACTATGCTGGATCTCCTGAATCTCAGACGTCAGCCTGCGGATCAATATATCCTTTTCCTGGGGAGATGCCTCTAAAGATTTTTCAAGGACTTTGATTTGGTTGGAGAGCTCTAAATTTAACTTTTCCAGTTCTTGGTTTCTCTTCAATAGTTCACGTTTGGCCTGGAAAACAGAGCACAGACAATAAACTTCTGTTCAGATTTTTATTTTTATTTTTCAAATTCACTTATCTGCTAATATTTCTTTATTTTTATTTCTTTTTTTATTTTTTCTTTTTTATTTTTAAATATGAATAGGAAATGCATACTCTGCTCTGTAAGGTACTATGTATTCATCCAATATGGAGAAAACAGTCAAATACTATCCTCAAATATCCCAATATAAAAATGGGGGTACTTGGGGAGACAAGACCCCTCCGCAGTATCATTTTCCATCAATAACATCCTTTTTCCTCTGCCAAATTTTCCCAATATCCTTATCAAAACTCACACAAGGAAGAATCAAAGAACAGGTACTTTCACCTGTCATTTACCAAAAATGGTCGGATGAAAGTGGCAAACAGTTTCAAAGAGAGGGGAATATTATGAGATGCCATGCAGAGGGCATGTGACACTAAATCAGAGCTGTATCTGGTACCCATGTCGCTACCTGGTTGACAGCATTGTCTGATAACAGTTCAGGACAGGTGACAGGAATTAATAACATAAATGTGACTAAACTAAGTAGATCATCATCACATATTAGTTATTGTGTCAATGGGAGGCACTGTGATAAGTCATTATTTATCTTATTGGTCATTATAACAGAGGCATCCCCCTCTAAATACAAATATTAAATCAATACTATTGAACCTATATCAGAATATGAATAATGTACAACACAAGTTAATAATTACTCACTGGGGCGGGGTGCAAAGTACAAAGTACAAACTTATTCAGTGATAAACTGGAGGACAGATAAAATGACCTGTCTTTCAACCTAGTATGTTTCACTAGGCAACTCTGGGTTGTTTAGTCACCATTTATTGTGTAATATGCTAATTATGTACTTGTCCCTAAATCCCAAACATTATGATTCCAGAAGGAAACTATTGTTACTACCTGTAGAATACTTATTGACTTACCACAAAATTCACGCACAAAAAAAGAGAAAGTTTTTTGAAAATAACACCTGTACAAAAAGGTATTCAAAAATATAATTAAACAGACCTTTATTCTAATGTATACCTGCTAGAAAATTAAAACAAAAAACAGATGCATTTACTTCAAAAATTGATTAAAATGGCTATTTTATACCTAAAACAATAGTAAAATAATATTTTTAAAAAAATTCAAACTTACAGTCATTTTGTTTATCTTTCAAACTGTTTTTCTGTTCAAATCTGAGCTATATATAATCTAACGCCAAGCCTAAAAATTTCCACTGATCCTATTGGCTGAAACTTGAGCTTGACATCTGTTTACTCATTTTTCAAGGTCAGGTGATAAAACACAATGTATATGTGCCTATTCACCTGGGAGTTTCCATTTACCTTGTGAAAAGCCTATTCTTGTTGATTATAAAAGCTTTTGAACTGAATAAAAGACATGGTAGCTTGGCTAAATAAACAAATGGTCTATACAGAGAACAAAAATTTAATTTGAATAAAAAACTGAGAAGTTTCCAAATGGACTTAAATAAATGTTTGCCCAAATTGTATGGAAAAAAATTTTACCCCCTGCAGTCTCTCTTTCCCAATTTCTGAGACACAAATAATGAGATCAGAAACAAAACATAGAAGAAAAAAGTTACTTACCAGTAGAGCTTCTTCTAATTGTTGTGGATCACAGTTGGCAAATTTGAGATGCTGCTTTAGTTTTGTGTTTTCCTTTACTAAATTGTCAATCAGTTGTTTTGAAGGTCCAGGAACATATTTTTCATCATTCCCAACCGTTGTAGAAATAGATGCTCCAAGACTTAACAACCGGCTTTTATAAACGTCCAGTAATCTCTCCTGTAACTGCAACTGCGATGTTAGCTCCTCTATTTCTTGCCTTGCTTCTCTGTGCAGATCTGAAATTGTTTGGTAGCCTTGTAATTTAATTTGAGCACTTTTCAACTGTTTGTGAAGCTCCTTTACTGTTTCACTCAGATGTTGACATTTATTCCTGTAAGAGTCCGTAGATAGATCAATACTAACTTCTGGTGACGGCGATCTCCGACCGTTACTGACGGCTGCTTGAACTTTCGACAAAGCCATATGTTTAATATCCTGTTTAGTCTCTTAGCTATATAGCTTTTCTCCTGAATAAAGAAACGTGTATTCCTTAAATGCGTGATTAGTTATAGTTAATATTGATGAGCAATCTGTTAATTATTTGGGTGTGTTTAATGTTTACAATGTTTTTGGTGTAGCAAGGGGGCATGTATTAGTATTGTGTATTGTGTTTTGTCCTTGTGCGTAAGCAAGTGTTTAATAGAATGTGGCAGTTATCTAGATGCAGGCAAAAAGCGGGTTCAATATCCCAAGCGAAATGTTGAGCTACAAGGTGACCTATTTTATATCGTATAAGATTTTCGGTTCGGCCATTTTTAGTAACAGCGTTGGAAATTTCACCTTTAAATTTAGATTTCGAAACAGAAATTAACTAAATAAAACAAAAGTAATGTACCTAAGCACTTACCGGTCGTACTGGAAATTCCAGAGAGAAGTATCTAATGATGGCTGTCCGCAAAAAGGTTTTGGAAAGTTAGGTGACGCTCTTCCCGACCAGAAAATTCCCAGCTAAGTGCGCATGCGCATCTCTAAATAAAAACTAGTTGGAATTTCCAAAGGGGATTCCCCTTTCCCGACCGTTTGCACGACTCCTCCGACGGACCATGGTGTGTAGATCTAAACTGTTTTTAAAGTGTTATTTTAATATTTTCCTCAGAAATACTCCTTCAACTTCTTCACAAAACGATACCTCAGTAATACACTGTAGATCAACTTTACAATGGGACTTCACGAAAAATTGTGCTTTTACCCAACTTGAGGAGGAATAATAGGCCTACTGAATATACACCCGGTAGGCCTACCTATAGGTATACCAGACACGTTCATTTGAAAAGAGGTTTTAGATACTTTGTCCCAATATTACATCCCTTTTCAGGTGTTTTCCCCTTACCTAGGAAGTTGTGTACCAGAACAAGCGGTAGGCCTGCCCGAGAATGTCCTCTCCCCAGGGGAGGGGGGAGGGGTTGCCTGGTTGTAGTTATGTAGGTTGTAGATATGCCCAGTTTTCTTTTCTTCTCACGTGGAATATGATATGTATCACTGAGGTATACCAGGGCCAATTCTCCTGAAATGACCCATGACTTTACCAACATCACACCCTAAATAATGCGTGTGTTTGCCAAATAAAATTCCCGGTCTGTAAAATGTTTTTGCGTCATCTTATTTTTCATCGTCATGCAATTCAAATAGTAGGACATTGTTCCACAGCTAGGTCACGATGTCAAACCGACCAACCGTCTGCTTATTGATAAATTTATCAGTGTAGCTATCAGGGATGTATGCTTATTTGTCCATTTTATATAATATTTTATACATGCACAGTGTGTGTGTGAGTGCGTGTGTCCCCTTGGTTGTGTGTTGGGTATAGACTAAGTAAAAATAAAAAATAAATAAATAAATAAAAACCCGCACTTAAGAATTTCAACATTAATACACTATAATTCCATGAAAATTGGAATAGTGAGTAAAGAAACGCACGAAATTCAGCTTTTCAACACCTCTTAAAGCTTGCACTATAATTCAGTGAAATTTTTTGTATTGCGTTGCGGCATTGCTTATCTGAAAACTTCGTCATTAACTTTTGTAACACCCCTGTTTCACTTAATGCACAAAAAAAAAAAAAAAAAAAAAAAAAAAAAAAAACAGGTTTATAAACAGTCTCGATAACATAACTTTTATTTCTAAATCTTTCTTTTTTCGCAATATGTTCATTACCGGTGTTTCCTCGTCTCTTTATTAATTAATTTATGTCTTTATATTATTTATTCATACATGCATACTGTATAGGGGCCTATAGGGCCTACTTAACTTGCTGATTAATTTACCTATTCATTATCATTTTAATTATATATGTATGTATTACTCCCACCATTCATTTATTCATATTTTGCTGACAAGTGGACAAAGCCAGATAAGATGGCACTGGTTTTATGTCTAAATAATGACTGTCACAGACGTAACAAAAAAAGGAGGTGGGTCGCTGTCCAATAAAAAAATATATTCTTCTAGTGACGTCATATCAGGCTATACCGCGGATATCCGTCTCCCCTGTCCATATCCTTTGTATCTGATCCAGTGTCAGGCTCCTGTCGTAGATCTGTAACTGGAATAAAAAGAAAAGAAAAATAGGAATGCCTAAAAATAGAATCCCCCTTTGTTGATTAAACTCAAACCAGGAACTTATAAACTGTTCTAATGATCGGGGCTTTCTTTAGTTCTCGGAATAATGAATTTTACTTGGGTGTTATTTTCAGTCGTGATATATATGTATATACAGCGTGATGATTTATATGAAGAAATTTACCGGTAACGGAGAATTATAAAGATTTTATAAACTTGCACCTTCTTATTTAAATGAGCTTGTTTTACACTACGTGCCATCAAGAAATCTCAGATCAGGTGATCACCTTCTTCTTAAGGCTTATAAGGCAAGATTAGTATCATACGGTGATAAAGCTTTTAAATTTGCAGCACCAAAAGAATGGAATATTTTACCCATCAGTCTTAGACAAATTGTGGACCCTGGACATTTTAAAAAGGAGCTAAAAACCCACCTTTTTAAACAATATTATCTTTAAATTCTTGAAAAAAACACTTCTTAAGAAAAACTCTTCTTAGTCATAGTTTTAAATTTTCCCTTTTTTTACCATTTTATATATCCTTTCATCTTATAACCATTAGCAATATTTTTCTTTTAATTTGAATTTTATAAGTTTTGTAAAGTCTACTGAACACATGTTGGATTTTAGACTATAGATAAATATTATTATTATTATTATTTATTATTTGCCGAAAAAGGTAGAAATATTCTTGGATTCACTTACATCGTCTACATGGCCGAGGAAATTTCCCGTTTGGGTGATAGGCTTATCACCAGAGGCATTATCAGGGCATTTCAATGCTTTCCCTAAGCTTAGAGGAGCTAAGGTGGACGGTATGTTTCCTGAAAAATTGAAATAAACCGCTAAAATATCAGATGAATATTTCGGTTATAGGGCCTATTCCTGAAATAGTTGTGCGTATAAGCGATGTCACTTGCAGTTTCGTCATTTGTTTGTTGAATTGTAAACTTGGGGTTCAAATCAAGCCAAGAAGATCGCTCATAAATCTATTTTGTTTATCATTTGCACATGAAATGAAAGGACCAGAGCAATTTTCTGCAGTCCCATATATGTTCAGAGTCACTGGCTTCCCTCAACAATTTATGATGCCGTAATCATAATATATATTCTTACTACATTTCATATATATATATATATATATATATATATATATATATATATATAAACACGCACCAGGGCTGTACACAGATTGCACTTCTACGTCGTTGTTTTCTCTTCTGACGTACACAGTCAAATTCCTGCCGTTGTAAACAAACACCACTCCCAGGTACTCGTTATTTCCAAGCTGAAAAGACGTTTGTCATTAGACCACAGAGTTTCATCAGATGTGTCAGTCATTTCCGTCATTTGAATAAAGTCAGTTGTCATGTAAAAAATTCGAGTCTAAAACAAGCGAAGACTTTTTTATAAAAAGTCTGTCATGCGACATCGCTGGATCAAATCCTGGTAAGATCTATTAAAATTCTAACATAAATGTTACGCCAGTAATAAACTGCAAAATTGCAAATTTATTGAAAAAACACCGAATTCAGAGTACGGTTGTGATACAAGATATTTGGATACAGTGTTTTTGAGATCAATATAATAATAATAATAATAATAATAATAATAATAATAATAATAATAATAAAATCAACTCACGTTTGTAAATTTTAAATCTGTTCTTTTTGGCGGGCCTCTATTCGTCACAACAAGAAATTGGCCTAACAACTCGGACGGACGGCTTGCAAAACGAATAGAAGGATCTTGTTCACAGTCACCATTATGCAGGAGCTCTCTCTCCACTAACTCCAGCGCTGCCTGGCGGCGGTACCAAAAAGTAATACTAACATCATGCCCCCAGTAATAGTTATTGAATCTAGGTATTTCTAAATCTCCTCCTCGTCCAATAAACATAGCAGAATTTTGTCCATGTTTTACCTCCTGCGGAGCCGTCGATTTTTCTGCTAAGCTGACGCGGTTGTTGTCCGCCGGGTAAAAGAGAACTTTACTCAAAAATTCACTTTTTCTTGATATATTACGTTGCTCGAAGTCGAAGACGCCTATTGCTCCACGAACTGCAATGATAAATATAATAATTTTTTATTTTGAAATCTTTTATTGACACAATACAATATTCTATTAAATGGTTCATTGAACTTTAATGGCGATTTGCAACAGCAATATAAGTTCATATGTAAGTATCTTTATTTAATTGGGTAAATATATGTGCTGTCATCCCCACGCACCTGATACACATCTACAGACGCTGGGGTCAAACGCTGCTCCCTTCCCACACGATTTCTGACAGCAAGTTTTGTCACATTTTGTCACTCCAGGCTCACAGTTGTAGACAGGCTTCAGGAAGTACTCTGTGACCAGATTGACGTGAGGACAGTATGAAAAACCGCCAAGACAGCAGCACGCTACAAATACATTATACACTTTTTATCACCTAAATATAAAATCTCTCTCTCTCTCTCTCTCTCTCTCTCTCTCTCAACAAGTAAATATCTATCGTTTCATTTTGGGCTAGACCGTTATTTGTAAATGTCAGGTGTAAATGGGGTGTTGTGCCTTACTGTCTGTATTTATGAGGTCCTCCGCACTGTGGCAATGGTCGGTTGGAGGCCAGTCTGAAGGTAATAAAATACATTGTTACATTGTTTTAGTAAAACTACCATGAACACATTGAACCAGAATGTCAACTTATTTACAAATTATGTTAAAATTAAATTAGATTTTTTCTTTGATTTTCAGTTAAATTAATGTTTACGAAAAATCCTGTATTGAAATTGCATTAGAACGTCACAGTCCTTCTTTGCTTACCCTTCCCATTTTTCAATTCTTTCGGACCTGATAGAAAGAAAATAAAAATTTGTCACACGAAAACAGAAATTTTACAATTGGTTTTCATACTAGAAGTCATATTCATACTAACATGATCTTTGCCGTTTGCCACCCCAGCGTATCTACAACCAAGAGTTTTCGTCACTACCTTCGAAGTAGTTTGCCGCAATGCTAAGTACTTTATTTTATAGGCTACAGATGAATTAGACATATTATTTTCAGTTATCTACGAAAGTTATGGTGGAAAATTATTAAAAAAAATCATTACTCTTTTAAACATTTAAAACGTTATCATGACAAGATGACAATGAATTTCGATTGGGGAGACTGAAATATTAAACAAGAAAGCAAAGCTGTCAGATGTACAGGTTATATTGTAAAACTGCAATTCAACCTTAAACTTTTGCGCCAATTAGTCGCCCCCATGGCTTAACACATTTTAAAAAGCATCGAAATCATTAGGTCTAATACAAGATAATCGAATCCAAATCCCCAAATATAGTGATAAATTTATAGAAAATTGACAATGCCATAAATACATTTAGGACTAGGCGCCAATGACTGCGAGCACGACGCGGCTGCACAGCTGACGCATACTGGGTTCTCGTAAAGCGTTCCTGGCGCGCACTGGCGGCGTTTGGCCACAATTCGCAAGTCGGCGTCCCGGTCGCATTGCAAGTAGTTACGGCAGTCGCAGGGGTCTTCATAATAACCGACTCCGTTCCTTGTCTCAATGCACTTCTTGCAAAATTCTGCGGAAAAAGAGAACGGAATGTGCTAATGAAATTCTACACTAATAGTATGTGAGTTTTGAAGTTAGGCCGTGTCATGGTGACATGAAATTATAGTTCATACCCAAGGTTGATAATTGTATGTAAATGAAGACAATGTCAGGTAGGCGTCAGACAAAATGTTGAAGAACTGTTCTCAGGATATAATTTGGATTTTGATTAAGAACTTCCAAAGACACTCCACCTCATGTTGTGGCGAGTTGGCGCAATCCCCTTTTTCCTTCTATTTGAAAAATATGTATGGAAACGTGCCTTAAAAATTGCTGTGGTCCTTCAAATACAATGGGCCCATGGTGTCGCAAATCATGTGTCGGTTCACTTAATGGATTTTTCTGACAGGACACTTAATATGCCGGTTGTCAGTCATCGTAAATCACATAAAATGCTTTAAAAGTTAATACACGCTGCTAGTCACGTTTGAATAGATCATTAACTGAATTGCTTTGCATTTATTAAGTAAAAATAACGTGAAATAACGTGAAATCAATTTATACCGAAAAAAAGAAAGGAGGAAGGACCGATCTAAAATTAAGAGTGCTTTGTTTAAAAAAAAACGAAAATATTTTCTCGGTTACTTGTACGCAAAGACAAATATTGGAACAGACAATACTTTCACGTTATAAAATTATGAATTTAGTTGAAATTCGACTTATACAGATTATAACTGTATGCAGACCGCGGAGAAAGCCTGTCGGCCGAAATTTTCAAGTTAAGACGATGATTAATTTGACTGCTGTTGGGATTTATCATGACATTTGAATATCATGTAAAAACAAAGTAATTCATTTGTGTGACTTTTTCTACATACATGTATGATAAAAATCCATATACATGTATGATTGATATTCCATAAAATGTATAATGGATAAATGTATTCTAGGTGCACAATCGCCTTACCTGCTGCGTTTAGGAGGATAGAGCTGTTGCTGGGGTCCTGGAACAAAATCAAGCACAGTGCTATTTAAAATTAATACATGTTTATTTCTCTTGTTATGTAATGACTCCCGCCACGCACACGCACAGAAAAATACAGATTTTTGTTTGTTTGAGATACAAACATCAATCTTTTTTGTGTGTGTGCTGTTGATGTCACAATGTTCATGTTTCTAACTGAAGCAACTGGTACGGTAGGCTCCAACCATCAGGATTAAAATACCCTTTTCACGTCGAATAATATACTTTGAGCGATACATACTGTACCGGTTCACTTTGAGAGGTCCCAACACGCTACACGGGAGTCAACTCCTATTTACAAGTTTCCACAAGTGCGCTTCCTGCGTCGAGGGCAGAGGCTGCGTTTCGGTGTCTATCTTACGTAATATCCAGGTTATTTTAATGATCAAAAGTTGTCAATCAGTGAAGTCGGTGTATCATGAATGGAAGTCCTAGGAATGGAAGTCCGGGCTCCCATACGATTAGTACGGTTCCTAGCGGACTTCCATTCCTGTTACACCTGTTCATGTGAAAAGGAACAAAGTCTCACCTTCGTGCGTGATATTTAGTACCAATGTCTAGCATTGATGGATTTTAGACAAAGCATTTTCAAGTCACATCACTAAATATTCCGTGTTCATTTTTGAAAAAAAAAATCTGCTTCCCCAGGCCTTGAAGTGTACGTGCACGACAACCACAGCAAGTTGCACAGAAGCTAAATATACAGTGTCGTTTTTTCTTTATATGTTGTGCAATTCTTAAATTTCAAAGAAACTATGCGGTTCATTTATAAGCACTGGTGTTAGGGTGAACCACGTTGAAACACACAGACACGCACATGCACACACGAACTCTCTCTCTCATACACACACAAATACACACATACAATAGTCGCACACCTGCAAGTTTATGTACCTTATCACAGCTGAATTCTATTCCTGACCCTACTGGTGAAGGTGGTGTTGTTGCTAAAGCAGGCAGACGCTGAGCAAGGGAAGACACTGACTGAAACTCATCTTGGGAGTCTGCATTGATGACCTGTCTCTTAAGACGCCGAGAACTGTCCTCGCGTAGGGCATACGGGGTACACGTCGACTTTTGGTTACCCATACACAAACACATTAGTGCAATAAGAAAAACTGTAAGACCAAAATGAAAATAAAATAAAATAATCCAAAGATCATTATTTGGACGCTAGCAGAATATATTTTTGAAGTTAAAATGTTAGCTTATTGCCAACCTAAATTTAAAGATTACGATAATGATAATCATTACAGTTTCAAGGGTTGGTGAAATTTAATATAGATTAACTGTTGAAACTTCCAATGCAGAAAGACTTGACATTAGTGTCCGAAATATCTTATTTATACTTATCAAATAATTATTTTACCACCTTCGCTTTAAGATCGAAGGTAGATGGACGGTAAATGATTTTGATCTCGTTTTCGACATTTTCATAAACGTTAAATGGCAATTTCATTTTTCCAAATCACCCCAAAAATTTCCTAATAAATATTTTAACTCAGTTCGTCTTGCACATATTGTATGCAGTCGTATGATATATATATATATATATATATATATATATATATATATATATATATATATATATATATATAAAATGCACGACTCGCTTTGTTTTCACACTCAATTTTCTTCCGCCCTGAAAATCTTATATTTAGCGGAATGTAAATGAAGATACAAATATATCTGTAAATATCTAAAACTATTTTGAGATGCTCGGAAAATACGTGTATCAGTGTTGGCATGACGACAAACTAATGGTAGAAAAGGACTGTTAAAGAAATCAAAGAAAAACTTTAGATTGTTTACCCCTTTTCCTAACCATGAACTGTCACTTATAAGAAAAACAGACCAGTCTATCACAATTTTTCTCATTCTTACTAATAGAAACAAGAGTATGCAAGAAAATAAATAACAGGGGGAATAGTATGTCAACTATTTCAACAAATTGTAGTACCTACCTTGTGTCTGGAACGACATGTTGCCTGAAAAGAGAAGCATATGCCTTTCTCAGCGATTCACAGTACGGTGTAACTTCACCATTCTGGCATCTACACATGTTTCGTTGCCTAATGAGGTCAAATGATTAATTAATTTATCTGACAATCGCACAGAAGCGGTATAGAAACCTTCCTCAATTAGTTAACTTTCATTGTTAAGGACAGGTGACTAAGGGGTTTTTTATCCAACGACTTGATGCGATGTCATGGAGTATAAGGGAGCGTTCAGATAAACCCATCGTACCGGCAGGATCGATCTATTTCTGAGGGGATTCTCGCTTAGTACACTCCATATAATTAGCTTGATTGTCTGGCCTGCCCCTCCAGAAACCAGGTGGTAATATATTATATTTCGTAGCTTCTGGAGGGGGCGGGCCAGACAATTAAACTGATTCCATTGAGCGTATTTAGGTGAGGATCCCCGCTGAGAGAGATCGAGCCTGCTGGACCGACAAGTTTTAATCTGAACACAGCTTTAGAGTTATGACCTCCACCGAGGTTGTAATTGTTAAAACCAGATCATATAGGTCATAAAACTTTTAATTATTAGAAATGACAATACCTTTGTTGCAAATAAGAGAGCAGAACGAGTTAATGTCGCCAAAATCACCTGCTGATTCAAGCGGTCCTTTACCGGGCTTGACGCTTAGCTTCGACACACCTGGATCAAGACATTTTCATTTCTCTTCGAGTTGAACACTGACTTTTAACTTATACCCGAGGTTGTGCGAAGTTCATACAGTTCAAGAAGAAAAGCAAAAAGCTTGGGCACAAGATCGGGCTGATAACATCCCGAAAACCAGCCAAGCATTGTTATCTTAATGCTGGAAGAAAGTTTGCATGATGTTAAGAAGATGACAAATGAAGACCATGCCCCATGTTTGTCTACGTCGCTCATTGCGTGTCCTGTCACGTGAAGTCTCTCTGGGGCACGGTTAGCAAAGGCGATTGATAGGCTCTACTATCCTGAGCCTGGTATTTGGCAGTTTTTTATAATCTCTCGCCCTGAGTTCCTCCATTAACACAGACTAGTACAATGCACCAGAAATACAGGTTATCAAAGTGTATCGTTTGTATTCATTTTGATGAATAACTTCAGTTCACGCGTGACAAAAACGCGTCCCCTCTTTTTCTTGCAAATCATTGTAAAAACATTTTAAAACGGTTGTTTTTAGGTGTTGTTTTGGTAACATCTATAATACTATATTATTACTATTATTGCTCCTATTCTATTTGTTTCTGGTATTAGAGCTACAGCTGTAAAATCATTTCTGATAAATTTTGGAGCAATATTTGAGCTTTTACCTGTATGTTGTCAAATCGACATGAAAATGGAACGAGATTAATTCCTATTAATTCCTATCATTAATAAAACTGGCGAAATAAATGAACAGGACCAGCTTACATGTATGTCATTTGAAAATACCTTGTCAAAGCGGACTTCGACGTCAGCAGAGTACACATGTCCGAGGATTTGCTCTGAATAACATTTTCCGTTATTTAATTAGTACATATAAAAACATAATTCAAACTTGAATTAAATGTTGAAGATTTTTCTCAAAAAGTCAACATGACAGCCCCTTACTATTTACCAAGTTTTGTCGAAGATGGAAAAATATCAACTTTTTTTTCAAACTGGAGGCATGATTTGCCCTCAAACTCGCATAAAAACAGTCACGTATCTACAAAACGCAATGTTACAGATTAAACGCAGCACGCACATTCTTAAGTTCATTGACGTAGGTCAAGGAGTAGACCGCCACCGAGAAGAACAATATTCTTTTGTTTTAAATGCCGTCGAATTCTTTTGTGAACTTCAGCGCTTTCCTTAAAGACGAATCAAATGTCGTTAAGTGGTACGCAGTATAACAATTTCCTTCTTTATTCTATTATTTTTTTATCAATGAAATTTGCTCTCAAACTTCAGTCAAAACATCGGAAAACATCGGCTTTTTTTCTTCCCGTGATATCAAATACCTTAATTGTTACTGTGAACGCACTATAGTTGGAGGACAATTTGTTTTGTATAGAAAATTACTTTCATAATTAAGTCACACCAAGAGGATAAATCTTGGAAAAATACAAACATTGATTTGCGTGCAAATTCTTTTTCATCTTTATATACTATCTTCCTTTCATATTTGCCGTAATTTCTGTTTTTTCTTTTTATTTCTCTCTCTCTCTTTCTGCTAGGCCAGTTAGCAACAATCTTATATTTTGGTTACACGTGCGCTTGTACAGGAGAGGATAAAACGCAGGCCATGATTTGCTGTTTCATCTCAAAAAGTGAATGTTTTCGCAGGTCATTTAATAGCAGCTCCTTCCCGACATCGGTTTTTTACAAGTCAAAATGGTTACCTGTGGTTCGTCATGCTACAGGTCACCCAGATCGTGTCTGTGTTTTCATGTCGTCTTGGCGACGGTGATCGGCATCAATAGTGTCTCCTTTGTCAAATTTAAATCCGCCTGGGGTTTATCTAGAATATCTATAACAGCGTATCAATACCGCGTGAATTAGATTGAGGACCTAAGAGGGCAAAATCGACAGCATCAGTACGTTTAGGTTGTACACGTATTAATCTTTTTGGTTTTGGTGGAACGGGTTTTCATCTTTTCGTCTTTCAACAAGATCTACGTTAAGTGTAGTTTGACCCACGATATCCCAGTGTTTGTGTAGGAAATGGGCCATTGAAGCGACAATGGGTTAATTGTTCACCTGCTTACCTGGGCATACCGTAAGCCCTACGTACGTAACATCGACAACGAAGCGTTTTTCTTTAACAGCCTCACTCTACGAGTTGTCTTTTAAGGACTGCTCACTTGGATACGGTAAACATGCTGGGGACACGTGTGTGCGAAAGTTGGCACCCTGCCTGAATACTGTTTACAGATATGATAGAAAGTGATTTCTTAAAGCCCTATGGTGATTTGAGTTGACTTCAATCACACAGAGGTCATCCTCGAGGCATTTTCGCGAACCACTAGTACAGATGTGATGGCTTCTATGGATTACTATCACCAACATTAGGAGATGTGTTCACTAAACAGGGAAACGCCACCCTGACTATAATTTTGAACGGGACCATGGGTCCTACGAGTTCAGATGGAGGGCACACAGATGGCGTGCTCGACAAGTTAGAAGAAACTAAGGCAGATATTTACATCTACCAAGTCCGTCCAGTAGTCCCCACAGAGAGGAGGCCGGACATCCAAGTGACAGTGAAAGTAATCTCAAACAATGATCAGTGGAATCAGCACTGTTTTAAAATCCCTGTCAGAACTGAGACCACTGTCGACGAGGCCAGAAGACGCCTCGGAAAGAAACCAAAAACAGTGCTCGGCACACCGGACTACGCCTTCTTGGCACATGGAAAACATATTCCAAAAGAGAAAGAGAAAGATTTAAAAGTCATTGACATTCTTCCTAAACTTCTGAAAGATCTGCCCCAGAAAGGAGATAAAAGCAGTTTCCTGTTCCGGGGAAATGACGGACAATCAGTCGAATACAAAAAAGTAAGTAAACAGCTTAGTATTTCATCATCATTGGACACTGAAAGTATGTACTAAACTTAAAATGTAATGTGAAAATAGACATACACACACTGGACAATAGATGTGCCACCCCCTGAATCACAGTAATCAAAAAATAGACATACACACAATGGTCAATAGAAGTGTCACCGCCTGAATAATCAAAGTTATTAACCTGAAATGGCGGAATATAAGCAATGTCAGAATATCGATACAGTTGAATTGTTCAGTCAGAACCGTTTCTTTTGTGAAATTTGATGTTAATAAAATGATACCAGGAGCATATCATTCCAGAGTCATTTATCTCCCCCAAAGTATTGGTTCAATAGGGGTGACACTTCTGTTGTCCAGTGTGTGTACATACATATATCAATAGCCTTTTACAGAACAAAACAAAAGGGACACACTATGAACACCTTCAAGGAATCTTCTATTATATTGATAAAATTAAATGAACAACAACATAAATTTCTACCTATGTTATTATTTTCTAAATGACTCTCATTCTGAAATGTTATTGGTTTAAGGTACTGCTCAAATATTTAATGGTATTTATTTTGGTATATTATTCATTGTTCGAAATAGCTCGGTTATGTCAGAAATCAATTTATGTTATCTGTTATTGAATTGGAGGATAGGGGTCATGACCTGACCGTGCTTGAATACTTGTTTTGTTTTTACATATAATGACCAAAAGTAAAATCGTAATTTAAGTGAACATGGTTTTCATACCAAACCTCAATTAAAACGCAGAAACAGTTACCGAAACATGTGCCTACGAAAGTGCAAAAGAAATTGTCTGGACATTGCATGCAGTTATGCTTCATTAACCACCTGAAGTTGGACAGGCCTGTAAGGCACATGACACGCTTAGGGACCATTCCCACAGATATTTGGATCGATCTATCTCATTGGGGAGTCTCACTAAAATGCTATCAAACTAACCGGATTAAACGTCTGTCACGCCTAGTAAAACTGTTAGGGGGTAATTATCTTTACCCGTAGCTGATTAGGTAGGCGTGACAGACATTTTTAAAAGCCTCGTGAACTGATAGCAACTTAGCGTGAACCCCCAGGGAGTTAGGTTGATCCAGATGGATCGATCTAAGACTGCAATCCCACAGATTTTAGATCGATCTATCCCCGTGGGGTGTCTCACTAGATTACTGTCAGCTTAGCCGGCTTAAAGATATTTGTGTAGCCAAATTTTAACAAGCTCATCAAAGCAATGAGACTCAAACCCAGTTTTAAGATGAATATGGTTATTTAATTGATTGTTTAATGGCGACCACAGACACACGTACACACTGATACATAATTACACTAAGGATGCGTTCACATGAAAAATCTATTTTCTAAAAATCTATTTGCGGTATCTTGTGATCACGGTCTGTGCCCTGAATACCCCACGGCGTAATTAGCCAGTTACTTCCAAAGCTGTAATTAATTCTCGGCGCTGCCAGTAATTACGCCGCGGGGTATTCAGGACACAGACCGTGATCACAAGATACCGCAAATAGATTTTTAGATCTTTAGAAAATAGATTTTTCATGTGAACGCAGCCTAAATCTTAATAGATGTTTACTGGTAAGAGAAGAGATGGGGAGGGGGGGGGGGGGGAGGGCTAAGAAGGCTTAGACCCCCTACACAAATACATAATTTCTTTTTACCTCATCGTCATAAACGTAGGAAGCAGAGAAGGGGGGGCATATAAGGAATTTTGGAACTACCACAATACGATGGCCTAAATTATAGCCCACTATAAGATATCAAATTTGTGATTTTACCTCCAAATAAAATTTTCTTTGAGAAAAAGGCAATTTTGTCCTAACTACAAATCATTGTTCGACCCTGCACTTGGAGTCGATGTACATAGTATACCATTTCTAATTGAATAATGTACTTCTAAATGCCTAGCCAGTCATTTATCTCCCTGTACATTTGTGAACGAAATATCGACATCAGTTACATTCATTTGAGGGGTTGTGTCATTTTGAGGTGTGAATTGGGAAAGATAAGTAGCTTTGCATGATATGTAGACAAAGAAATTATAACTCTGGAAAATATTCAAATGGCCAGTGCAGCAAGACGACGAGACTGAGTATGTAGCCCAGAAAAAATGGCACTGCCATTATTTTTTTTCATATGACTGGTTGGTTGGAGCTCATGCATTGTAGAATTTAGTTTGAGTGGAGACGAAATTTTGAATCATTCCACAGAAATCTCGCTCACAATATTTTCATCCAATTGCAGTCCTTGATAGTGCATACAAAGAAAGGATATATGTACATATTTGGCTTGGCTGGCGGGTAATACCTGCTATTGTAAAGTTTTTTTTTTTTTTTTTTTTTTTTTNTTCAATTTCCTTAACTAACTTCTTTTCTATTTCTGACTTTTTCTTTTTTTGGTAAGATGCATAAGAAATTGTCTTACCCCTAATTTCCATCAAAAGGGTTTCAAAAAATAGCTGATCATTTACCGTAAAATGAATTTCTCTGTCCGGTATATTTTGGAAGTTTTTGAAATTATATACCGGGACAGCGTACTGTTTTTTAACCTCTATAATTTTACTTCTAATTGCTTCGATATATATGATATCGTGCAGTAAGGAATTGTTGAATTTCCAGAAGCCCCTACCCTTAACGTACGCGTGGAAGGTAAGTGACAGCACAACAGCCGAGTGATCAGTCCTATAGCCGGGCTTAATATAACACGATTTAGTGCTACGTAACAAGTTTTCTGAGGTTAAAAAGTAGTCTAGTCGAGCTTGCTGAAAGGGTGTTCGTCGTCGCCACGTATACTTATTAATATTCGGATGTAACTGTTTATACGAATCAATGAGGTTATAACTCTCCTTCATTTCCAAAATTTTGTTTCTGGCATTAGGGTTATTTACATGTCTGTAGTTTTGATAGTCCTTGGCCGGATCTAGCACCAGATTAAAATCTCCAAATATTATAATGTTTTCACACTCAAAAGTTTCTATATTGGTAAAAAGGGAGTCAAAAAATTCAGGTTTATCCGTATTAGGGCCATATACCGAACAGATGAGAACTTTCCTGTTTTCTATTAGTGCCTCTAGTAGAATGTAGTTTCCATTTTCGTCTCGTTTCTCTTTAATTGGTTTAAATTCAAAATTATTATTTATCAATATACCTACTCCCCTACTATTTGACTTATAAGAGCTGAAGAAACAATCAAAGCCCCACATATTTCTCACTTCGTTCTCCATTTCTTTCGTGAAATGACTTTCTTGAATGCAGTATATATTATGATTTAAGTTTCTCAAGTATCTAAACACATCTTTCCTTTTGGCTCTATCTCTTAAGCCCTGGCAATTCAATGTGAAAATAGTCAACTCGCTGTCCATTACATTTACAGATGATAATGATAAGATAATACCTTAATAGCTGCATTACTATATATAGAATATAAATATTCTCCGGTTATTAGAATTAAATAACATGCGTACGTTAGTTGATAATCGATATCACACTCACTCACCATTCGCTCCTTCGTACATACATCAGCTATAACACAAATCAAAACACAAAAACATTGAAATACTACAATATTTATAGCGTTCTCTGCTTCTTGTTTTCAAGACAGTTACATTCGTGGGTGATTGTGTGCATGTGTGTGGGGGGGGGGGGGGGCATCTCACTCACTGTCATGATCGTGCATTCTTTATTCCGTTTCAAGTTAGTATAAGTTCTTATTTTCATATGTACGCGTTTATTCCCGTGAATTTCCTAAATGTCCACTGGACTATCAAGAACTATAGTGATTCAGTTTAGAGCTTATATAGGCACAGTATAATGGATTTTTACTGCATACGTTTTATAAATCTATTAATACTGCAATTCATGTAAGGAGCTTCCTATGAAGGATAGTCTAGCTACTTTATTCTTTTACGCATTTTGTTTTCAATTTTTTTTTCAATTTTCAGGTTTTAGGGTTTAATTATGGTCACTATAAAACTGCCAATATGTAGGCGTTTTGTGCATGTAGTAGAAATGGATTATATTATTTTCGAATCAGCGGATCTAAAATAAACAAAGTTTATTAATAAACGCCCAATATATCCGTAATTAAAGCCTATTTGCCTGTTTGACTGCATTTAAAGTTAAAACTAAGACGCAACTCACCAATGTGTGTTTGATTGACGGGGCTGGTTTAGAGATGTGGTGCATACCTTATTGGTATTTATACCTAGGCCTTCACAAGCTATATATCCCATATCATTCGGATAATGTTCAAGTGATGTTTTGCTACAGGATGACAACTTAGCATCCCAATTGTATTGCTTTAGGAGCGTACAGTGAAGGGAATATCATGAAAACCCAGTGAACTGACCAAAGCCATTGTGGCGATCTGATCGACTAATGGTAGAGGACAGATCCAGTATAACTACGTAGTATAAGTATGCATACCAATGCAATTTACTGTTACACAACGCCGTACTCCCTTGGGCAAAATTAAAGGCTAACATCCCCGTTTCAATTTACCACTTCAAGGGAAAGATTCAGAACAGCGCCCTGGCCTGAATTTTGATCTTACAAACTGACCCCTGGAACAAAAAGTGAAAATGTGAGCCACATACATTTAATTTNGCTATATATTTTGGTAATTTCCTTTGTAACATTTACAAACACTATAAAATACCCTTTCTCGATTTGATATCATGTTCTGTAAATATCCTGAATTTAAATACTAATGTTAAATGTCAGAGACTTTGATTTATGACGAGAGAGAGAGAGAGAGGTTAAGACATTCTGTAAATGTCCCGAACTAGAGGAGGGTGTTATAAACTAAACACATCTTGGCAATAACCCGTAGACAGGTAGCCGGCAGAGTGGTTTAGTTATTATGATCAACATCATTGTTTATATTTTTTATTAATATCAAACAATTTTACCGTTTGTAGCTATACCTGTTTGGAACCTGTACTCTGCGCCATATAATAGCAATGGTGTAAAGTAGTGATATTGTAAAATCCTGCAATAAAATTTTCTTCAAATATCAAATTTTATTAGATGGTTGAATAGAACAATTATAGAATCCAGTATAATGATACTGAATTGTTGTAAAGACATGTAGGAAGCAGGGTGACCATATATGCTCGGAATTTTGTCGGAGAGGGACATTTCTCGAGTTTGTTCTCTGCCCTGTGAAGCCATATTTTGTGGCCTGAGATGCCGTATCCATTCTTCGTGACCTGACCTGCCAAAAGCAAGTCTGGGCGCTCTTTCGATTCTTCCACATTAATCAAGATACGGAGTATCAATTACAAGTGTCCGGAGGGGGGGGGGGCATGAAGGGAATAAATAATTACAAGTAGTATCCTTGCGACACAAGGTTACTCTGCAATTTATATATTTCAATTTATGCTGTGAAATAATAGTCAGCTAGTACGTTGATCTCGCGAATCAACCAAATGACCGTTAGTTGAGTTGCTTAACTGCAAGTAATTAATCCCTTCCCCTCCCCTCCCCCGAACGTCATACTGGCAGGTTTCCAAATGAAGACTATACCGCAGAAAAAGTTTGGGACCCAAAAGAGAGTCGGCCAAAGACACGGTTGGGGAGCACGTTTGAACACGCCATGATAGACATTTACAGGTGTAGGGCCAGAACAGAGCCTCTGGTAAACAGTTTAGAACCAAGGGACCGAACTTGATTTGAGGACCAGAAGAGAGGCTTAACATACGTTACCTAGTATTAGCCATGACGCAAAGCCCCTTAAGTTATAGTTTTAATATTTATAAAAACGTCCTGACGGTTGGCACACATTTTCTTTTTTTCAGTTGTATCGTTACAGATAAAAAATGATTAATCACTTGATATGCAAAAGAAATAAAAAACACAGGTGTACTGCACACTTCCCTGGATTAAAAGGGGTTTTCAACATGGCGCTTGAAAATAAACTCTTTTGCATAAAGACAATATTAAAGCAAAAACGCTTATAATTCTCCTTGGAAGGTTACAACCAATTAAAAAATCCTCCCACATTTATTTCACATAGGACTGGCTTAAAGGGATAATAACTCTTCGTTTTGGCCAAAAAAGGAATTTTCCTGGAGTACACAACAATTTTCCCATACTTACCAATGGTTAATGAATCCATTTTTACATTCAAAGTTAGTCCCTGGTTTTTTTCTAAAAAGTTTGATTTTTTGTTAAAACCTCTTAAGAGATTATAACAGAGTACAGCCATCAATGGAGGTCACGTGGTCTTAAGACCAACTCAGATATCAGAATAATAGCTATAACTGCTGTTTTTGTGGTAAAACAGAATCTATTATATTTCTGTGAGTTATTCACAATGTTTTTATTGTGAAATACAAATCTCATACGGAGAGTTATTATCCCTTTAATAAAGTAAAAACTATCATTTGGGCGAAAGTCTTTGTTTGACCAAAGTTATTCTTTAATAGCCAAGCTAGCAACCACTATTTGCAATCGCTATCCCTCTCACACCCATAACTTCGGATCTGTCATCCGTTGACAAGTGCTTAAATTTGACCTAGGTAATGTCAAATAGTCATTGTTTGCTGTGGGGAAGAGAGAATCCAAACTGTAAGCATAAACAGAGCTTTAGAACCAAAAGCATTATTAAAAACCCAAATTCAAGAGGGTGTGACAATCATTTTGAGCAACGGTGTATATAGTTGCCTATCAAATAATGTAGAAACACTGAAAAACACTGAAAAACAAACATAGACCGTCCTTCGTTTTTTTTTTCGTTAATCATTATGATTATTTTATGTGATTGACGACAATGCTTCATTTAAAACATAAATTATAATGGCGTTTCTATAACTAACAGATATCTTGTTTTTACTTAAATCTAAATACTATTTGTCCACTTGTTTCAGATAGATGGACTGCCGGTTCGAACCACGGCCACTGTCCATCACTGCCATGATTTAATGGTGTTATTTTCTGTTTAATATTAGGTTCCCCTGGACATTCATGGCAAAAGAGCGGTGGTTTTATGTGCAGGAATCCTCCACATTCTCCCCAGTTGTCTGCAGTTACACCAGGTGGAAGCCACAGGGTTTTCATTCATCCCTTTGGATGCTACGTCACACCTTGATGAGTTATACGGTACTTACATGTATTATTTTTTTAAGAGTTATAAATGCATAATTCCCTATTCATTTAAACTTAGATGTCACTACATGGTGATACGAATGTCCACTTAATGGTTTTTATAAATTGTTCCATTCATGTCATTTGAATTCAGGTATTTTATGTGTTACACATTAACATTAATATATGCATATGCAAATTAATTTAGCACTTTTTTCTTTGAATTTCAGACGTAAAAAAAGTTGAACTTTTCGCCTCTGCCACCGCCGACCGAATTAATGACCTTAGCAACATAATCGGGGAGTTAAACAGAAGAGGCCAAGAAATTGCATCAATAACCGACCACCGGGGTGCAACGCCATTGCACTACGCAGCACAGCGAGGCTTACTGGAAATTTGCGACACCCTCCTGTCCCACGGGCCCGAGCTGATTCACGTACAGGATAACAACGACCGTCTCAGTCTTCACTATGCCCTGTATCGACGGCAATTTGAAGTAGCCATATATTTGATTCAAAAGGGGTCTGACGTCTTGCTTGAAGACCATCACGGTGTGACTTGTCTTTCTTTATTGAAAGTGATTCCGGAAAGAGTTTTGCTCGATTTCACGGAGTCAGACGAAACAGACTTTGCGGACCTCGACCCAGCTCTAACCTACGCATGCTTAGAAGCAGGAGTACGCAACAATGACTTAGCTATCGTTACCAAGACACTTCCACACTGTGAGGACTGTGATCAGCAAAACCAACTCGGGCTCACGCTGCTGCATGAAGCTGCACTCTTCGCCGATTCGGAAGTAGTGCGGTGTCTTGTCGAAAAGTTTTCCCTCTCTGTCTTTGACCACAGTGGTTACTTGCCACTTCACTATGCTTGCCAAAGAGGGCACAGCGAAATGATACCCCTCCTGATTAACGCTGAAGTGGAGAATGGACAGATTAACTTTGCAATATTATGTGCACTTTACAGACAGAGGTACGCTGCTGTATCTGTGCTTCTTGAGAAAGAGGGTTTATCGTTAGAATACGAAACGGTAGAGGTTCTCATCACAGCCATAGAAAGTAACTGGCAGGGAAGCAAAAGTGTGCTCCATAACTGCCACCATCCATACGTTTGCACACACTTCCTTAGCCATGCTGCGTGGGAAGGAGATGAAGCTCTAACACAATCACTACTAAACAATGGTGCAGACATTAACTTTCAGGACTTGATGGGGCGATCTGCTTTGCACGAGGCTGCACAACAAGGGCACATGAACGTTGTCGAGGTTCTTTTAGCAGCACCAGAGACGAGCCTAAATCTTCGAGACTGGAGGGGGTCTACTCCTTTACACTACGCTTGTGCAAATGATAAGGCAGATGTGGTTCACAAACTTGTTCTGCAAGACTCGATTAATGTACAGTTGACTGATGTCACTGGACGGACTCCTTTTCTTCTTGCGCTCTATTCTAAAGCTAAGGAGGCAGTTAAAACCCTCATTCACCATGCCATAGGCAAAATTAATCCAAGGAAGATGGACAAATCAAGAAGAAGTTTTCTTAACTTTCTCCACTTGCTCGAGAGTGATGACTACATATTGCTGAAAAATGTCGGGGAAGAAAGTTCCGTTCACATCCAAGACCCATTTCCTGAAGAAAAAACAGAGGCATACGCTCCGTTCAAAATCAGCGAAAATCTGAAACTCATATCACAAGACTTTTACGGCAAAAGGCTTTTTAATCACTGGTCAAATTCCACGTACATGTTGTGCCAAGCACACGGATGCTATGACAAGCTCTGTAAATATAGTCCAGACTACTACGAATCTAAATGCCATTCAGTGCCTTTCACATTAACAAAAACGCCAATAATGAAGGGTGGTTTATGTACTAACTGTAACCTTTTCAAGGATCTTTGGGACGAAGAGAGAACAGGCCTGTGTGAATGTGGTAACGAATTTGTTGATGTTTGGTTTGATTTGGACGTTTTACTGAGAGCTTACCTTGACCAAAAAACCTCATTAGTGGTAAAAAGCCAATCTCAACTTCAGAAGACAGCATACGCATTCCATGGCGAAAAGATACCTTTAAGTGTAAGTCCCCTGCATGAAGCTGTTTTGAACAAATCAGCGACAGCATATAAGTGTCTTGAACATGAATTAGAGGGTATTGTTTTCAGAGATAACTTTGGCAGGACACCACTTTTACTAGCTATTGATGTACTCAGTGTAGAGATGGTCCAATGTATTCTCTCCACCAGCCAAAATACCACGAGGGAACCACATTTGTTACACCGTGCTCTAAACTTGGAGACATGGACAGAAGAGGACCGGGCATCACAATATCAAATCGTATCTTGCCTTTTAGATCATGGGTGTGATCCATTTGAGCCGAATAATGACTTTTCGTTTTCTGCATCTCTGTTTGTATCCATCCGAAACTGGGTGGGTTTGAAATTTTGCAAAGAAAGTTTATCTAATGTGGCAACCGCTTTCCATGTGGCATGTGTCCTAGGTTTGGACAAGATAATAAAGCTGTTCCTTGTAGGGAGGTATGCACCTCCAGAAGCAATGGCTTTATGTATGGCTGCACAGTGTGGTCACGAGAAATCTGTCAATGTTTTGAGTGATTGCTTCATCGCAATGTGTAAAGAACATAGGGAGGATGTCCAGCTAAAACTTTGTCGTGCGCAATCTTCTTTGTTAGCTCTCTTTGCAGGCCTTCTTATTCCGAGCATTGAATCCCCAGCCAAGAGCAAATTGAGAGGGTATCCATCATGCCACTCAGTACGAAAGATAATGGAGATTTACGAAGCTGCTGGCTCAGAATTTGACATATCACCACTGCAACTGGTCCTCAAGTCTCCTTCTATGACAGAAGAAATCGAGTCAACAGCGCTTAGGATTATTGAATCACCCTCATACATCGGAGGGGGCATTTTGCATTCGCTTTGTCACGATGTTCTAACAGCCTTAGAAACACACCATTGGCGCGTTGCCATTGCAATTCTGGAAAAACATGGCCCCCACAGACTGTGGTTCTGTAGCAAACATTGTGAGCCGAATTTTACTGGTTCTTTCTCCATCCACAACAAGTCTGAGCAAAAAGCTGAATGTGCATCGTATGTTTTAGCAAAAACAAATCAGCACGAAGGAAGGGAAAATATGTACACATATGCAGATGAGCCATTGGATTCAGTTGAGCATCTTGCTTTATACGGCGACTGGAAAAACCCTCTGATGACCGATATTCTGTGTCTCGCGTCGCATCCTCTTGCACCAGAGGAGTTGCCTCAAAAACTTATCTATGGTACATACTTTAAGTTGAACAAGACCCACATAGTGAGACACGTACAGATGGCTGCAAAAGATATATACTACCAGTACCACCAATACTGGCCTGCTCATACAGAAGCTTTCATGAAATTGATCAAAATCTGCCCAGTCATCATTGATACGGTAGTACCATTTCCTTCCGAATACCAGTGGTTTAACACACGGTTTCTGTCTCCAGATCAATCACAATTTCTCCAAAAAGCGATTTCCATCAGAGAGACATGTGGTTTGTTTGGCTGCGACGTGGCTGGTGCTGCTATTGCTACTGGGGACAGAGAGGTCATACAAAATGCTCTCCTTGGAACCGACCACTGCTGTCCTAGGTTTCCGACCAATATCCAAGGGAAAACTGCACTTGAAATAGCATGCTATGCTGGTGATCTTTTGACGGTGAAACACATTATGTCTACGTGTTCGCAGATACCACACGTATTGTTATCGCAGGCAGCATTACTGGCATTTGGGACATATTCAAATGTTCTCGAGCCTTTTGATATTGTGCTCAAAGATCAGTGGCCTTGGACTGCCCTTGATAGGACATTGTGGAATTGCAAAAACATATTCCAGAGACTGCAAAGTAAGTGGTTTAACTGACATCGAGTACCATGGTTAAATGGTTAAATGTATGGATAAGAGAAAAGTTCTCATAAAGTGTACAATAGGGCTTCTGGTGTATTATGTCGGTTTTAAGTAACGTGGTTATAATCAAAATTTCTGATAAGTGGTGAATTTTATTTTCCAATGTTTCAGTGGTTTACATATGTTATCTGGATGCTAATTTACACCCGTATTTTAAATTGACAGGCAATCCAACAGCGAATGCGAAGAACCGATTGTCAATCATTGAGCTGCTCTGCGACAGGTGAGTATTTTTTTAATGTTAATTGTATTGGGAGAACGTTAATTGTTACATTATATCAACCATTTGCTTTGAATTGTGATTGGCTCTATATCTTAGGTTCATCTTATATGTTTATTCCAGATTGGATGTCACCGGTGCATTGCAAAGTCCGAGATGCGTCCGTGACCTGATGGTAGGGGCATGCTTGAACGGTCTTACAGATGCTATAACCGTAATTTTGAGTAGAGCTGTCTCAGGTGATTGCTCATGGTATGTATGCGTTCTTTGGTGATGACAATACAGCATGTTCCCCAGCATAGTGTTCGTCTATTTGTCGGGGTAGAATAAAATAAATTTTGCATATATATTTATTTACTTTATATGTGAATTCATACTTTTAAATTATTTCAAACCATACATTATGTCATGATAAAAAATTCTTTCTAAAAATTTTAATTTTATATGGCTTTTAGTGTGTAGCTAATAAATTGCTATAAATGAATGAGATACTTCTTTTTGAAAACGCGTATAATTATATACAACACCATTATCATCACCACATTCATTCTTTTCTTTTCTAGGATATGGTGTGCCATTAGCGCATCAGTGGTTTCTGACCACCAAGAATGCGCAATAGCCGTTCTAGAGTATACAAAGCACAAGGCGCTGACCGTGCCAGTTGACGAAATTGGGCTCACTGCGATACTCAATATAGCTGCCAACCTTAAACAGTGGAAACTCATTCATTACCTATGTTTTGAGCAAACATCGGTGTCCATGGTGATGACAAACCCAAATGACACAATAGCCTTGATTTCGTTGAAACTGTTAGCTATTAATTCCTCTTGGGGGAAGATGAAAGAGGAAAAACGGGGACTGATGTTCAAGCCAATTCTGCATTTGGCATGCGAAGCTGGACAGTACAAAATAGTGCATTGCTTACTACAAAAAATGGATCAAGATGCTGTAGGATGGATAGTTAACGTTCGAGACAAAAGCAAGAGAACGCCGATTGACTATGCACTGTGCAACCATCATTCAAAGATTGCAATATTATTACTTATATACGATGCCCAGTTACCAAACAGAGCCTACGTTGGTCTTAAAGAGGCGTTACGCTGTTTCCCAGAGAGGAACGCTAGCGACATAGTTCCAGTTGCTGGTTATCTTTCCACGACGCCGCAGAAAAGACGTTTAACAAAAAAGGCTGTAATGAAAGACTGTCAAATAAGGCAGATTTGGGATGGCTTTGGAAACTTGTATGCAGAAGACTTTAGAAGGATTTTAAACGAGAAAAGGCAAAATAAAAGTACATGGAAAAATGATACCGATACCATTAACAGCAGCTTATCCGGCACCACAAAGACAAAAATCCATTCTCATGGTTTTCCCGACTTTCAGTATTATCACTCAACTGGGGTACTGCCTCATCTTTCGAGTATTAAAGCACTCAAGTGGGATAACCCAGATGACGTGCCACACACACCAAAGCGAGTACAGAGAAAAATCTGGAAGAATAAAGGGGAACTATCAGCATCAACGGAGCTCAAAGTTAACCCACTTCCTGTCAGACAGAGAACAGAACACGAAGGCAGAGAAATGACAGCTTATTTCACGCCATTGGCGAATGTTGATCCGTCAGAGACACTGACTTCAACTTATCAATCGTGTTTCAAATGTGTTGTGAAGGATGATCACACCATGTCCTGTCAGCAACAAGACCAGTGTAAGGTTGATCAGAGGGATATAATGCTGAGTTTGTACGAGATTGATTATGGAAGATACATGGAGCCGCGGAAGACTAATAGACAATCAAACTCCAGTAACTGCAACGACTGCATGGTGTCTACATACCAAACAATCTATGGCATTACAGACAATAAAAAGGCAAATAGTTCTACTAAATTTTCTAAACCAGTTAATACTGACAAAGGTCCCATAGAGCCAGTTGTATCTGCAATGAATGAAACAACGAAACACGAATCCCAAAGCGCCCGTAAAACCAACGCAGAGAGAAACCACATGACTAAAGAAGCTGCGTACACCAAGGAACAATTTAGACCGAAGTTAAAAGGAGACAGCACCCGTGCGGCATGCGAGATGGTGTCCTCTTGTATCGATGACCAAACAGAATCCAAAACGCTCAGAAACGCTTTTAGATATGTAAAAGACCCAAAGAGATGGGAAAGCTTATTACATGCTGCCTGTGCTTATGGTGACTCAGAACTGGTTGATAAGATACTAAGGGAAAGGCCAAGCATTGTCAATAAAATGGACAAGAAAAACAGATCCCCACTTTTCTATGCTGCCTTCAACGGCCACAAAGGCATTATGAAAATATTGATAGCCAATAATGCCATTTTAAATGAAGGCTGCAATGTTCTACTGGCAGTGCTCATGCACCTTTGTAAAAAGCGTTGTTTGAGGGAAGGAGGTATTCATCTTATGTTAAAGTGTCAGGACAGTTGCGAAAAGGACCCACATTTGTCAGGTTTACGTGACATTAGAAGAAAAGCATTTGAAAGCATAATCCAATACAGCGACAGTCACCATGATGTGCGAGCACTTAATCTTGATGTTGAACATGAATATAGTTCAGAGGAAGCATTGGAAATGGTAGAAATGCTTGCTTGTGAACAAAAGTTGACTAATCCATTCGATGAGAGGATGTATTTTACAGCAGCTCTGCTTGGGGAAGAATCTATTTGCAATGCCATTATTAAACGCCAACCAAGCGAACAACATTCTACTAATACCAATAACGACGAAAGCGACAAGAACAACTCTGATTCATTTACTACAGATGTCAAAAGCGGTGGTGAGGCCAAAATGACATCAACCAGTTTTGTTGATTTGTTAATTGCAATCTACCTCATTAAAGGGAAACATTTTCAATGGAACCAACTCACTTTACAGAAGCAAACAAAACTGATGACACATTTAATAGAAAAGTTTCACTATCTTCCTAGTCCCTTTGCTTTGGCACGTTTGGTGTTGCAGGGATTTTGGCCTGTTGTTCTGACCACCCTTCAGAAAATTGATGTATCTGGGGGCATAGCTAGTGACCTGGAAAACACGCTGTACATGGTCATGTTCAAAGCAAGCGAGAGGAACCAAACTGATAGCTTAAAGGTCGTTCTAGAACACTTACGTCACAGCAAATCAGATAAAAGTTATCTGATTACGACTTTAAAATTAGCTGTGCAAAACAACAGTCAGGAGTCTTGCACGCTTTTGTTAAGAGAAGGAGCAGATCCAACAGCACGGCCAGTATTTTCAGATTCAGCGTTGAAGCTGAAGTTCAGAAAATTAGGATGGTCGGCACTTCACACATTGTGTTCTGTAGGTGACTTGGAAATGCTTAACACATTTGCAGCAGAGATGGGTGGCGACCTGGAATCGATGCTCCGCACCGTGGCCCAAGAGCACGAATTAAAAAAGGAATTGCTGTTCCTGTGTGCTGCATATGGTCGTGAAACAATCATAACCACTTTTAAAGCCAATGGATGGGATATAGACGTAACTACTAGTACTAAGAAATTGTCAGCAATATCCACCCGGATCAAAGGGAATTCCCTCTTGGAAACTGCAGCAGAAAATGGACATGAGTCTCTTTGTGTGTATTTGCTCAGAAATTGCAATGTCCTGCTGCAACAAAATGCACTTTCTAACGTCTTGCGCTCTGCATGTGCTAGGGGCATGGACAAACTAACTGATGCAGTTGTTTTATATTATTCACAAGACCCTAGTAGATCAGCTACTCTCAAAACGGCTCTCCTTTCAAGCGATACCCTTGCAGCCAAAGATTACCCCAGTCAGCCAGTGGTTTATGCCCATTCAATGGGCCATTATGGGGTTGTAGAAAAGCTACAATTATGGCTTGTAAAGTCAGGTGAAAAACCGATAATTGTACCCACGCCATTTGACAGTAAAAGGCCTGTGGGCTATCTCAGAAACCACATAGTAGAAAACGAAGAAAAACACAAATTAAGAAGTCCATCTGAAACAAACATCCAAGAAGCATTGGAACTAACAGCGGCTGAATTGTTTATCGGTTACCTAAAGGGACAGAAATATACAGATTCTTGGAAGTCTTGGTTCACTGACAGTATTAAATTGACATTTCCAAAGTTTCTGATGATTTTTAGATATTTGCCTTCAGCAGCATCCATGAAGTTCGTGGAAATGGCATCGCAGGAGGAATTTCAAGCCAATCCAAACTTTTGGGAAGATGTTCTGGCGGCTACCATTCGATACAATAGAAGGGAAACGTTTGAAGCAATTTTAAACCATGCATTATTTCGAAAAAAAGAACAAACCATTATTTCATCAGCCACAGTACTACAAGAAGCCTGTTTGGCTGAAGACGCCTATTATCTCACCAAGCTTCTTGCAAGAGGCTCAACAGAATATCTGACCAAGAATGACAAAAACGGGATTTCTCCTATTGGTTATGCCAGTGCCATGGGAAAACAGCAAATACTAGCTGCAATGTCTGATGGTCTTTATGTGGACGAGCATTCCGATCATGGTGTAGACGAGGACGGCATAGCGGAAAGTTATAGTCCTTTTTGCGCTCTGTGCCTGCTACATGAACATCGTGGGTGGCGAAGTGGATCTTTTTTCCCTCTTGTAAATACTTCCACTGACACAAACATGAAGGAAGTCCATGAGAGCGTTTCGCAGCCTGTTTGTTTCAAATACCCTGTGCAATTTTCTGAGTTTATGACGATACAATATGACTTGAAGTGCTATTTAGAGCGTCTTACCGACTCGAGGACTGCGGCTGAGCAGATATATCCAATGTCAAGTCCAGCAAATGTCAATATTTGCCGTTACTTTTTAGGTGACTACAAACGTTATGAGATGTCAACTACTGACGACAGAAATCATGCGCTTACACAGTGCATCAAATATGGCGATGAAAATTCCTTTAAAACAATACTGATGGCAATGAAAAGGAATGACATAGCATTTAAATTGCTGTTGAATGAAATTGCAGTCTGCGGAAGAAAACGTCTTTTGGAATATTTAATCACCACGTTTGACACCAGCGGTTTAGTGCAGCATTTTGGCAGTCCTAATCCCCTGGAATTGGCTATTGCATTTGGAAACACCGAACTTGCATTTTACATTGTTGAAACGTTTTCGTCTTTGCCATGCGATTATATACGGCCGATCCTGGACTACTGTGACGGTATACCTACAGAAGACGACTCAGAAGATCATTCCTTGGCTAAGAACCTCACAAAAGATTCATTCTTAATGGCACGCTGGATTCTTGGACAGAACAGACCTGGTGATGAATCCTGGCACCGATCGTTGATGGATCAGAAAAGCACGCTCAGTCATCCAGACGTTTGGCTCGCCGCACAGTTCAAAGAAGAACATCTCAAAATATTAGAAGCAGCGCGTGCATTTCAGTCGTATACCCTGCAGACCACCCTGACACCATACGATGTGACGGTAGATTATAGAGGACTGGGTGCTGTTATACAACTTGACAGTTTCATATCAAAAGTCAGAGCTCAGTCTTTACTGGTCTTGCAAAGTGCGAAAGATGCCATCGAGGAAAGAGACGACGGGAAGCTACACTACACGGCCCCCGATGGTAGCAAAGAGAGGTTAAAGAAAATGATTCTCATTGCCAGCTCAGGCCAGAATGGAAAGCACAGCCTGAAAGTGAAAAGCCGTGGAGAACTAGAAATAACGGTAGCCGTAATTGAAAATAATGGGAGCATTATAGAATCGCAAGGTTTTCTACAAGATGATATAATGATAGCAAAGAAGGAGGTCGATGAAGAACATCTCCCCTTTCTGAAATCTAAGGTAGTGTAATAATATATCAATAAGATTGGAAAAGTTGAAAAATAATTCCATCACCTTTTGCTGTAAATAAGTGTAACATATTCTGTAAATTTATTTTATTTGAATGTTAATGGTATTGAAAGTCAACGGTAATTTATGAAGCACCTCTCATTTATTTAATTATATTACAGATTCAAGACATCTTTGGCCTGAATGTCCAAGTGGAGATGAGCTGGGGTTCTTTTGATGTCATCAAAGACAGGTCACAAAGATTAGAAGTAATACGTAAATTTGCAGATTCAGAAACTTCTTCGACGTGCAGTTTTGGGGGGTTTATGGCAACGTTAAACCAATGCGAATACTGGATAGAAAGCATCAGAGACATTGCAGATTCGCATATGTGTGAATCATTGAAAAAGTCTCTCCCCGCCATTAAAACTATAACATTCCGATATTCCACAGACGTGCGTGATGACATACCATTCAAGGATATTAAGACTTTACTCGATCAGAAATCAGTGGCTTGGCTATTTAAGTTCACTCACGAAGCAAAGAAGTCGGAATATAATCGAGGTGTCGCAACGGAGTCGACATCCTGCAACCGCGGTGCATTTGCCCCGTATGTGTACTGTAGGCTTTTCCAAAAGGCGTTTATAGAATTATATCTGTTAGTGCAAGCGTTTCACATAAGGAAAGAACCAACGCTTATGGAGGAGCAAGAAGATTCGAAAGGTGATAAGACTGATGACAACCCCCTTCAGTTCCGAATAGAATGGTTATCTGCATCCCATCTTGGGAAACCGCAAGAAGTTTTGAAATTCATACATAGGCCATTAAAACAAGCTTTGATGACATCAGTAGATAGTTTCGTACTCCAGAAACACATTGAAGCACGTTTTGACTATTTGCACATCCAGTTTTCTCCTCAAAAAGACCAAAAGAAAATTGTTAGAGGCGGAACCAGTATTAAATTTATATTGGGCGTTTCAAAGGACTGCACCACGCATATAGAACTTCCAGACTTCGACTCCGAATTTTTAGATATTCAGAAACAAGAACTGAAGACAGCAGAGACCACAAAATATTTAAAACAAAATTTTGCAGACGCGCTGCAAAAAGTTTCCGACGCCATTAAAATGGAGTACAGTCTACCTTCTCTCACAATGAACCCGGATTTCAAAGCATTGATTGACGAAGCCGCTTCTTGGTCAAATGAGTATTCCTCTCACACAATAGAAACCTATCTTTTCAACAGTTGTTGTTCAAAACGAGTGAAAAAGGCTTTTTCAGATAGATTGTCCAGGGCGATTGCCAGGCTTTGTTCTATGTATAAGGCCGTAGAAGGAAAGAGCAAAATGCGCCTGGCATTTTTGAGAAGATTACACAATCAGTCAGTGATCCACGATTCAGATCGAGATCTGGTGATAAGAAGCGGTAGCCAAATGCGGATCATACAAAGACCTGATCTGGACCAACAAAAAATAACAAATGTGAAAAACAATTGGGAGATTCTTTCCATTGCAGACGTTCTTCGTGATTATTCTGGAAAAGGCAGTTGTTGTGATGAAATCGAACTGGTTTTGTATGACAGTGTGTGTTATCGAATAGCTGGTAGCGCAGGTGCACTTGCTTTACTGAAAATGTTGCCTTCCAGGATCACCGTCAGTAACAACAGAAAAAAAGAGCAATCCAATGACCCAACAACATTGGCGATAGAGAGTTCTTCAAACTCGCTGCCTCTTGTGGTACATGTTCCTTCAGACGATAGATCAGTATTAATCCACCCTCGCGTTCTGGCTATAGAACGGAAGCGACGTGGTTCAAGTATATTTATCAGCGTTGACAGTGATTTGTTTATGCATAGGAAAGAGGGAAGCAATCTTGATGTTGTCCTTGACTTCATAGATTACCTAATGCATGCTAGACACGTGCATAACGTGCCTTTGACAAGGCAAAAATTAATGCCGACGGAGTACCCAAAATGTTGTTCTACTGGCAAAGATAGAAAACCAATTCCTAATATCGTACGTGACAATCTTGTCCAATTGATAAAGGTTGTGAAAAAGGTTAATCCAACGAAAAACCAGGAAGAAAATGCTATTAGAATCGATACTGATGAAGACACCATGGTGTTTTTCTTGTTTGACGCTGATATTTCTTGGGAGGACGTCCAGGTTGCGTACTTGAAGTACCTCATTCGCCGTGAAGCTGTGAAATTTGCTGGGGATTTGTCTGCCGCGATGGAAGCTAAAATTGACGCTAATACTTTTGAGTTCAAATGCGAAAATGGGCTCTCGCCGTTGAAAGAACTTGGAGCGTTGTACAAAAATACTAGCACAATATTTGAACCATTTCATACGGCGCTCTGTTTCTTAATGCAGCACTGTAAAAAGTACAGTGGAAAAGTGCAAGGAGTTAAGTCACTGTGCTTCATCGCAACCAACGAGCACAACAAAGATGGACGAACTGTCCGACCAGCGGGACAGATTCTTCAATATTGCCTGCCATTTAGCAAAGCTGCTGAAAACACACATTTATTCTTTGGCGCAGGCGAGTTAGGAAAGATTTTGATTCAGAATTGTTTTGACTCTCCTAAAGCCCTTGAGTACATGGCATCGGTTCCAATGCCGACGGAAACGGCCGTGAGTCCTGAGACAATGGTATACGCTTACTTCGGTTTGGCCATGGCAGAGACATCATTTGTCATACAAGGAAGAAATGTTCTGGGCAAAGAGATTAAAGACACACAAGACAAACAAACAAACGGTCTGCATGTAGATGTATTATCTGAAGATCAGTCTCCATTGTCAGGTGTAAACGTTGCCGTAGAAAACATCGCAGCGTGTGAATGGAGAGTAACTTGGAAACCAACTGATAAGGGAAGATATCATATACATGCCAAGCTTTTTGGGCAGCACGTTAGAGGAAGTCCATTTGAAGTGCACGTACTCAGTGAGCCTAGTAAAATGCCATTTTCATTAACTAAAAACAAACATGAGGCTGATATTGGGATCAATCGTCAAAGTCAGTTACCAGTGGTTATTGTTCATCCTAAACCACATGTGAGCAAAGTCAGCACTTTGACGCAAATAAAAAAATTCAGGAGTTCCCCTTGTGACGTCTATGGACTTTCGTCAAATGCTAGTACATATCTTCTACGTCAGCTCATTTCGCAAGAAAAACATTGGTTTTATCGAAACAGTAAGAAAACGAAAATGTGCATGTTGCACTGCAGTACCGACGTCCAGGTAGAAGAAAGTCGCCTTGAAGGAACACAGGAGGTTGCGCTGTTGAACTTAAACACACCTAACAATAATTCTGTGTTAACATTGGAGCCACATTGCAGACATTGTGGACAGGCAGTGGATGTGATCAGTGCAGGTGTAGTCAAGCGAGCTGGAGCTCCACTTTCTGTGCTGGTTACGGATGGGTAAGTTTCAACACATTAATGTCATATTCATGATTTTAAAAACATCCTAAAGCATTTTTTTTAATACGACACAATACCATAACTGTTCGCTTCTAGCTGTTATATTTTATAGTTTTAAGTAAAGAAGTGTCTATTCATTCAAAAATTTCCGATTTTTATCGTATAATCACCACTCTTACACTTGCTTCAACTATGAAATTTGTCTGTTTTAGAAACGAAAGTTTGACAAGAAAGAATTCCATGGGCAGCGAGGAGGATGAAATATAGCTCAAACAAGGATTTATGGGACTTTCAGGAATGTTAAAAGTAAAAATCGGCATGTGCTGGGAAAACCCTAAAAAGGATTTCAGTGCTTTCGACTGCAGCGGGAGAAAGTGACCCTAGCTGTACAGTTAGAACCTTTTCCGAAATGAAACAACCAAATTCAGACACCACCTGGCCACCTCCACATTGTAATGGTGCTATTACATGTAAAAAAGCGCCTGATATGACAGAATGGTTATCCTATTTGATTTTTACAGGTTCAACTTCTTTGTATTTTAAGAGGTTGAATATGTAAAAGCAGAACATAGGAGCGTCATCATTAACTGTCAGTTGTACATTAGTGAATTGCATGTATATACTGTATATATGCTAACATATATATATCCATTTGATATATCATTACGCTGTAAATAATGTATACTGCCGTGTAAATAGTATGGTTATGGAGTAGCTTCCTTTTGTGTACTAAGGTAGGCTTCAGAGTCATCATTCGTTTGTATAGAGACTATGCATTTGTAATATTTCTTTACGGTTATTTAGATACTGGTGCTACAATCATCTTGTGGTGCTCAGTGCTTTGTGGACACTTGTATATATTGGATTAAATGCCCAGTTATTTTTTCTTATTTATTTATTTATTATGTCAAATCCACTATCAATTCAAATTTTCATTTCTTAAAAACTTCACGTGCCAAGTTAGTTCACTAAGTGCAATTACAAATGTGATATAGATCTTCATTGGGTCTGCGCTTTGCAAGAAAAACATATTTTTAAAAGTCAGACATTATCAAGAGAAACTAATTCACCCGCCAATACGGAATGAAAAGAAATACTTGTAATTACTTATGTTAATCCTGCTTGTAGCGTTCAGTATGCATTTCTGTAATTCCCACGGGATCTCGGTGCTAAAAGTCTCAATGTGCCAAATGTTTTAAGATATATTTTAGCATATTTGTAAAAACATAATTTCTCATAATAAATTAACAATAAATTTGTTACATTTTCATCTTTATTTTTTATTCATTAATTTCATTCGTTATGAAAGAATAATTGGTAATTTAAGCTAACTTTAACGGTATTTAAAAACGTTTCACGCGCCTAGATGTCAACTTCTCTGTCAAGAAATACGCAAAATGCGGCTCGTAGACTCGCTCATAATATTATACGATTTTTACAAAATGTACAGAACTTTCTCTAAATCGTGTGTGTTCTCATATTTCGATTTTTTCTTCAAATGCTTTTGTTTTACGGACACTCAAATCATATGCCAGCAATTCAAATCGATCACATTTTACAGACTATTTTGTTCACTACATGCGCCATCTATTTCACTGATAACTGAAAAGGCTGGATGTATAACATTTTTCATACATTTTGACAGCGTCAAACGGATGAAAAATATGACCTACTGTGTACAACCCATGCAAAATACGCTGTATTAATATCTATTTCAGTTCTGTAATTTTATTATCGCACATATTACGGAATTTACGTGTGTTTTGTGAGGTTTTACGTTCCTTTGCAGGAAATATTTTATGTAAGAACTGATCAGAGAAAGAAAGTTGCACTAGCATACCTTATAAGTGGCTGGCCCAATTTTGCCCAAATAGTGAAATAATGGCCCACACCACATACAGGAAGAGAAACATAATGAAAAAGTCTCCTAGCTAAACATGATATTCTCGTGCTTCAATTATATTTGATGGGTATGGTCTTTTATTTCTCCCATCCTTGTCTCTATGTACCCAATTAACCGATAATAACTGATCTGGTTGCTAAGATCACATAAGTAAATATGATGTGCACGCACACATTTGTTTACTTACCCATGTGTAGTTTACCTTTTTTTACCGTACATCATGCATACCGCACACGTGACTCCACTCTCTTTCTCTACGTGAGTGTGTGTGTGTGTGAATATGTGTGTGTGTTGTGTGTGTGTTGAGTGTGTGTGTGTGGTTGCAGATCACTACCACAACAACTGCACATTTAGCGCCCATATTACTCGTTTGTTCAGGTGTTTTTCTTTCAGCAGTAGCGCACAAAAGGAGCATAATAACACAATGTGGTTTGTCATGACTTCCATGACCCAGTCTGATTATGCCGAACCCCAGCTGAGGTCTCCTTCTTGGAAGAGAACACAGAAGTAAACATTGATTTCGATAGCAAATATGTGTTTTGGTGACACTGAAAGGTTTGGATTTGTGCCAATGTATTTATTGCTTAACATTGACATGGCCACTATGACAGACTTTCCTGTATACGTGATGTGAGTCAACCCACACCAATAGGTGAAACAAGCCTGGTCTCCACGATTTGTAGATCAGGTAAGTTACCACGTAATATATAGGAATGCAAAAGTGAAGTCGTTGGCAATAGATGTGGAAATGGGGTGTATGTACATGTATGTGCACTCAATTATAACGAGAGAGAAGGACCTATGCAATTAAATGAGCCATACAGGTAGGTTGATTACACTGTCGCAACACCGCCAGCTCTAGGTGTGTGTGTGTGAGTGTGTTTGCGATCTCATGTACCCCGAATTAAACAACTTATTGCTGAATGACACAAATGAAATTATTCAACATTAAAATGTTAAAACATAACACCATAAAAAGCATTATTTAAGTCTGAAAATGAAACACGAGGGCTACTGAAATGTTAAAATTTTGCGAAGAGCGATTATGATGCATTTGTTTAGGATTATTGTTGCCACTAAAGACTAAATTATTCATTCAAGCCTGCAAAGTACATCTCATCAAAGAAAGCCGCAAAGTAATATTAGCAATAATCCTTACAAGGATATGGCATTGATAATATTGGCATATGTTAATTTATATTGTAAACCTCAGGTTCGACCTAAGGGGAGGGGGGCTGTGTGTGTGTGTGCGTGTGTGTGTGTGTGTGTATGTGTGTGTGGTGGGGAGGTTGTGCATATTTACTTGTCTTAAATAGTTACTGGTGTTAGAGAAAAAAGACTTATAAATAGAAGCTTTGCAATATCAAAGTATCAGACTTGTGCTTGTAATATTACCAGGTTTTCTCTCTAGGTAATGTCTTCGGGTAATATGTGTTAATATCAAATAACAGCGACAATGATTTTGGTGGTTCAGTTCTTCAGGAGTGACCCCTGGGTACAGAGTAGGCTAGGTCCACCCAGGCTCAGGGGTATAGTCAGCAACTTTGGAATGTCCTCTCGGTAGTTTGACCAAAGGCTCTCACACAACAACAGCAGAATGATGAAGATTATTTAAATTAAAATTTGATCAAAACGCACTTATAGTTGTATTACAGTCCCCCAGATAAAAATCATTAACAATGAACTGACACTGGATTGAATTGCACTGGTTGCAATTGTAGTTGTTTTCTTGCTATATCTTTCGGGTGGGGGAATAGCTGCTTTAAAGCGACAAGACATTAATAAAAAGTGATAATAAATTCGTTTCAGAATAAAGATAACAGATGGGTACCGGAGTAAGTAAAAGCCATTCTAAAAGCGACGTAAGAGCGCAAGAAACTGGAGTGCACCATAACCCACCAAGTCCTAGCCAAACAACCATCACCAATCAAGGTAGCAGAATTGATGTCACACAACTTAGTTCACCGCAGCCAAAATCTGAGCATGAACCCTCTATCAAAGTCGAAGAACATCGTGGTTCAAGAGTCGGAAGCAACTTATCAATACGAAGTAAAACAGGTTCGTTAAACAGAACTAAAACCGGCGTTGCCACCAGTAAAATAGATCCAGACCTATCTTCCTCTCAATGCCTAGTCAAAGAACCCTTATCAAGTGAAGATTGCGAACCTGGCGGTAACAAAGAAGCAACCAGACGTTCAACAAGTGCAATTTCTCGCCAGAGTTACAGAAAATTGGATCCAGAACCCGCACAAGACAGTAAAGACAGTCAATCTGTGACGTCAAATCAGGTGAACGTTTCCCACTCAGGAAGGGAGAAAAACGGCTTTCCAGAACAAGACATATCGCACGAAAGGACCAGCCAAAAACTAAAAATGGAAACAAGTGAAGTATTTGAAAACCATTCCATTCACAGAGATGGTGAGGTGTCGGCAATATCATTACCTTTGCAACATCAGCAGGACCAAGGTGCTCATATGAGAGCCACCAATGAAATAGATGACCAAGGAGACAGAAATAACAAAGAAGAATTGGATGAAGTTATCAAGGAAATTTTTGATAACTTCCAAGACTCAGAAAACAGTGTAAGCAAAACTGGTCACAGCTCAAGTGATCTTGAGGCATTTTCAGAAGCTCCTAATGCAAACAGCGAAATTGGTACACGCAAAACAGGAGAAAATGATATTGAACAGTTATACCAAGATGCGTTTCATGAAGATTTCCCTTCAGATAACAGGGACATGGAGGATAAAGATGCGCAACACGGCAATCGTACCCAACAGAATGTAGATTGTAGCAATAGTAAAATTGTCCAGCAAGAAAATTTGCATACATTGGAAAATTTTGGAAATGATATCTCCCGACCAGAAATAGAAACATGTGACAATGAAAACCAGCAGAACATAGATATTCAAAGTGAAAACTCCGAAGGCTCGTATACATACAGCGAATTCAACGATGAAGAAAACGATGCAATTACACCGGGTTACATGGACCATGAAAATTCTATTGAAGAAGCGAATGAAAACCAGCAGAACATACATATTGAAGAGAACACTGATGCGAAACCGTTTCAACGTAAAAACTCGGAAGACTCGTATACATACAGTGAATTCAATGATGAAAAAAATGATGCAATTAAAGACGGTTATATGGACTATGAAAATTCTAGTGAAGAAGCGAATGAAAACAAAACTGAGCAGTCAAGGCATTCAAACAATCATCAAGAAACGGGTGATATAGAAAAACAGGAGGAGGGGAATTTAAATGGCGAGGTTGAAGACGTGCGAGTCGATGATGGGGGATCAGAAAAAATGAACCTTAAGAACTTGCATAAGCAAGGGCAACACTCCCAAGGAACAGATGAAAAATTGTTTTCTACACAAACAGACGGTGCTAGTATTGATCTACCTATTGAAAGAGGGACCAAAAGAGAACGAATTCCCTCAAATGAATTGCCCAACCAGAGCACGACGCAAGGGTCCGCTGGTCAATTGGAGGAGGAAAAATTAGAAAACACAGAATATGAACATTTAAACAAGCAAAGTGATTCTACAGCCTCCGCAAGTCTCCCCAGTCAACACTTGCAAGAGGAAGATGAAGAAACATACAGAGCTAGTCTTGAACTGCCTTCGGATGCAGGGAGCAAACGTTCAGTAGAATATGAATCCAAATCTCAGAAAGAAATGTCCAACAAGAACACGGCTAGAGAGTCTGTCGGCCAAATAAAAAAGGACAAAACAGATTATACAGAAAATGATCACTTGCACAAGCAAAGTGATTCTTCGGATTCAGCAAGTTTGCAGAGTCAGCACTTCCAAGAGGTGAAGGAAGAATTTTCTTCTGCTGAAACAGACAGAGCTAGTTTTTATCTACCCTCTGGTACAGCGATCAAGGATTTGATTGAAGATGAATCTACAACCCTTAAAGAATCACCCAAGCAGAAAACGTCTAAAGAGTCCGTCAACCCACAGGATGAGAACAAAACTGAAAATCGAGCAAGTTTCAAAGATGACGACCATGTAACTGAAGATGCCTCAGGAATAAAAAATAACTCGCCAGATGATGTGAAACGTTCAAGACAAGTTACAGAAACCCCAGCTGCAAAACGACGAGTAAGCCGAAAGGACAGAGCACCAAGAGAAAGAAGAAGGAAACAACTAGCCAAGAGCCCGGCAAGGACACTTCCAAGTCTTCCCCCAGAGAACCATCCACGAAAACTGGTCTTGGCTATTTCTTTACAGGGAGACACAACAGATCCTTGGGAATTATACTGGGATGGGAAGAATTTGCCAGCTGAGATGTTTGAAGACACACACTATCATCCGCCAAACATTGATCTTAAAGATCACTTTATTGAATCAATACCTGACGAAATTGAAGCGTTTGCTGACACACTTACCGTTGTTAACTTCAAAGGCAACAACCTATCTAAGTTACCCCTGGGTTTCTTTCGTTTAAAGAATCTGAAGAAACTTAATCTTAGTGTTAACTGCTTCACTGAAATTTCAAAAGAATTTGAAAAACTTACAGCATTGGAAGACCTAGTGATGTCACATAATTATATTGAGAACGTCGACGGCAACGGTCCACCTATTCTCCAAACATTAGATTTGAGTCACAACTGTACGCTGTCTCACGGGGAGTTGTTTTATTCTTTGCTTGATTGGCAGAGTCTGTCCACTTTGAATTTGGCTGGAAATCAAATTGAAAAAATCCCGGACAACATTTCCGATCTAGAAGAGCTATTGGAACTAAATGTGTCTTTTAACGAACTTACTGAAATACCGGGAGAACTATTTGAACTGGAAAGTCTTCAGAGCCTCGACCTCAGCCACAACTTCATAAAGAAAGTAGGTGAACCTTCCCTTGATAGCCAGTTAGAAAGACTTGATGTTTCAGCAAACTACCTTGAGGCTATACCGCTCTCAACCCATTTCAAGAAACTAAAACATTTCAAGTGTTCTAACAACTATATAGAAAAGGTCCAGCATAGCCTTAGCTACTGTTCATCGTTAGAATATGTCGACCTTTCGGAAAATTACATCACCATTTTTGATTTGGCGGGTGAGACGCTACCATCACTGGATCAATTAATCCTAGACGAAAACTACCTCCAGGATTTTCCAAAAGATGTGAGTGCTCTCCAGAACATACGGGTATTGTCTTGCAAGAGAAATGTTATAACATTTCTCGACGTTCCAAAAGAAATAATCAGTTTGGAAGAGCTCTATCTGAATGACAACAGCATAAGTGGAGTGCACACTTTTTTGCCACGTGGTCTGCCATCCCTGAAGTTATTGGACGTGTCCAATAATCAGATAAAACACCTTCCTGGTTCTTTCTCAGAATTCGAACATTTGGAGACGTTGAATTTAAACGGAAATAAATTCATCCATTTTCCAGATATCCTCCGTAATGGTCTTCCACGGCTCACTAATCTGGCCTTGGATGGCAGTAAAGACATGCTTCATGAATTGGAGGACCAGTCTTTGGTGTTGAATTGCAGTGGAAGAATGAAGGACTTACATCTTGCTCACCACGAATTGGAAGCTATTCCAGATACGTTAGCAACCTTAACAAATATTGAGCGCCTGAACGTGTCTGGGAACAAGCTCAAAAAGCTCCCCAAGAGATTACTCATGAACATGTCCAAGTTGAAACACTTAGACTTGTCACACAATGAGTTCGACCAGGTTCCACAGGAGTTTCGATCACAAACCAACGAAGTCACACATCTTGATCTTCAAGGGAACAAAATCTCCGCACTGCCAATTCACTTTTCCAAAATGAAAACGGTTGAAGAGTTGCATATTGGACGAAATGCGCTATGTGGCTTACCTCCCAAGTTTATTGAAATGAAAGATATCACCAAACTACAGTTATCACATAATCCCTTCAGCAACGTGCCCTGCGTGATCTGGAAATTGCAACACTTACAACACCTTGAAATGAACAATTGCCAACTGAAGATATTTGATGTAGATCGTTCTGCGACATCTATCCATCACAACCTACGGTTCCTCGACGTAGGGAGCAATCAGCTAGAAGAAATTGACGAATCAGTGGTTCTTTGTACCTCACTGGAGGAGTGCGAATTTTCGCATAACAACATATCTGAAATTGATGATATTCCAATTGGGGAGTTGACGGCACTTCAAAAATTAGACATGAGTTATAATGCATTTGACTGCTTTCCGACTAAGGTGTTTGAGTGCAGTGCATTAGAACAGCTGGATTTATCCAATAACAAGATCGACACAATGGAGGAAGGCAATGTTGACCCAAAGAATAATATAAGGATACTAAATTTGTCCTTTAATAAACTCCAAGGTATCCCAGTGGCTCTGAAACACCTTAGACGTCTAGAAAAATTAGACATCAAGGACAACAGAATCGAGAAAATATCCGACAAAATGGAAGATGGAATCCCTCGCCTGAAAAGTATCAACATCAGCAACAACAAACTACAGTTTATCCCAAAAACGGTTGGAATGTCCACAAGACAACTTGACCACTGCTCGTTAACCAATAATAAGATTCAAGATATATCAAGCTGGGAAGCAAGATCAGCAATTCTGCAACTTGATTTAAATGACCTTCATGCACTTCCAGAGGCATTAATGGGAAAGCAAGGCTTGCGTGATCTCCACGTTATGAGCAACAAACTACAAGAGCTAACCTTCCCCAGAAATCGAGGACGCTCCTGCATGACTTTGCAATCTCTTAACGTCTCGCATAACCATTCAGAGAATCTTGCAAACTCTTCTCCATTCAATATGCGGAATGGGATTGCAGTGTTGCAATTCTTGCTTGAGCTCGAGATTGATGGTCTGCGCCTCAATAGTCTTCCAGATGACATTGGCGATCTCAAATATCTGAGAAAATTAACTGTACGTGGCAATAACTTGACTACCGTGCCCGCTTGTGTGTCTCGCCTTCGCAGACTGAAGTACCTGGATATGTCCGATAACAACTTGACAGAACCTACCACAAAGGAAATGGAATTTCTCCTGACAGCCATAGATATCTGCGAGGTGAACATGAGCAGGAACAAACTCACCTGTGTACCACTACCTGCGAAACAGGAGCTGAAGTCAAAACTGGAGAGATTCTTTCTCAGTGATAATCAGATTTCAGTCATTGATCGATTGATAACAGAGCTATCTTATATGAAAGAATTACATCTGGATTCCAACAAGCTGAAATACGTTCCTGAGCGTGTGTTCTACAACAAAGCCCTCCAGAAACTGACAGTTAACAAGAATTGCATTACAGCCATCCATGTACCCGAAGCTGAAGCGCTTGAGGATTCAAGTCTGAAGGTTTTGGAAGTTTCTAACAACAAGCTGACTGAAGTGGATAGCTCCCTTGCACTATTCGGTAGACTGGAATCATTGGATCTGAGCTATAACAATATATCAAAGCTTCCACCAAATGCTGGTCTGTTTGCGAAATTAAAGATGAGAGGACTTGTTCTCACAGGAAATCCTGCTCTTCAGACTTTTGCAGAAGAAGTCCTTCGCGACTATCTCACAAAGACAGACGCCGTCTTGAAGGCAAAGCAAGGGGTCAAGTTATTTTTTCATGGGAGGCAGACAAAAGATATGAATCTGGTGGCCGGAGCACTAATGCACAAAACGGAAGACGAGAACAGCTCACCACAAACACTTGATGGTATTGCAGTGCCCTTCAACTTTGATCTTGACAATTTCCAAGTCAGTGCATTTATCTGCAATTCCGATTTCCGCTACACGGTGCAGCAGTTAGCTTCCACTGGTACCATTCACGTTATTGTCTTCAATCTAGATGACTTCAAGGACGAGGACACTTCTGACGTCACGTTCACCACCCAAATCAGCTGCTTCATTTCTGAAGTAACAGCCTCAATGCCATTTCCAATATTGCGAGTTGTTGCTGTAAACAAGAGTTTCAGAATTGACAGTGATCCTCTCCGAAGAGCCACAGGACGAGTGGAAGACCAGCTGCGTTCATTTGCTGCCTCCCTGAATGAGCGATTGCTCTCTAAAACCGCGCTTCCTGAGGGGAGCAAGTCAGCGTTAAAACGAGCAGAGCACGTCATGGACATGTGGAATATGCCCTCAAGTGTAACATGCGTCAGTGTCGAACACATTGAGGACGAGATCAGAGACATTCAAGACGATCTGCGAGATGTTCTTTCACATGAACTCAGTTTTCCACGACCGCCTGTCCTTGGAGATCTGTGGGTGTTCTTCCTGGGAAAACTGTTTGAGCGAAGAGATGAAGAAACAAAACCCGTGAACTATCTCACCAGACATGAGTGCATTTCCATAGCAAAAGAATGTGGGATTGCCGACGACCAAATCAACCGTTTTATAGATACCTTCTTGTACCATTTACACGAGACAGGAAAAGCCTTTTGCCTAGAAGAGGACGGCGAAGTGAGAATGATTTTCACAGAAAAAGAGAGATATCTGGATATGCTCAGCTGTGTATTGAGCAGCAAAAACCCAGAGCTTTCATCCCGAAATGTGCAGCAGCTGCTAGACAAGGCAAACCGTTGGAAATTTTCGGCCGTGGACGTGATATACGTTTTGAATAGAATGGAATATCTTGTACAAACAACACCAGAAACACATTTTTGTCCTGCGCTGGCCAAGACACCAGGTGCCGCTGCAGTCCTAAAAAAACTAGGAGACATCAAAAAAGTAAAATCGTCCAACGAAGAAATTCAAATTGCAGCAGCTGTTACCTCTATCTTTCCATTCGGCGCTTTCTTCCAGCTACAGTATAACATCTTTCACAACGAGAAACTTCAAGTCAAAGATGGCTCGATTAACATCAAGAGCGACGGTGTTTGGGGGGAATGCAATGGCTGCAAGTTCTTCCTTAGTTTACAAAACACAGAAGACAGTGCCAAATACGGTTTCTATAACGACAAGACTGTCTTTCTAATCCGCATTCAAGGTGAAGTCGAAGACGATGCATATGACCATGGTATACAGACAGTATATCAACACAAAACGCTGGAGAAGAGGAGAGAAGTGACTGCTGACGATGGGTTCTCAGAGGTCGTGAAGGTGCTGGATGCCATATTCGACTCTCTAGAAAAGGTGAAATTGAAGTACCCAGGTATATCCTACAGAACAGGGGAGGTGCGATATATCCTGGGAGACCCGCCAGACAGCATAAGTAAGTACGAGAGAGAGAGAGACAGAACTAATGTTAGTTATCTACTATTATAGAACATGTGCAAGGTACTGAATATAATAGGTGTATTATAATGTCATAAAACTAGTATTAAAATTATTATATACATACAAAATTTTTTATACGGGATGATTAGTTCAATGCTATTTATGCACAAAATGACTGGGGTAATTTTCACTTGAACTTTACCATGGCTTTAATTTTACCGTCAATAGTCTGAATAAAAACCATTTTGCTCTCTAGATTTCGGCGACAGAGTAACCAGACTGGTGTCTCGAAAGCTTGGTGGTGACTGGAAAGAGTTTGCAAACCAACTTCCACTGGATGCTGATAAAAAACAGAAGGTCTTACGAGCTGCCCAAAGTAAGACTGCTACGACTGACATGGACAGAACGAAACTGCTTCTCAAGGAATGGAAAAAGATATCTGGAAAGAAAGCTGATGTCATCAACCTATGTAAAGCTCTTAGAGCTTGCAACAATGGTGCAGTCGCGGGTATGTGAAACCCTGAGTAGAAATTATAATTTTTAAGAAACTAATTTTGCTCATGTGTCCATTTGATTGAAAAATTCATTCAAGATCCTTACTGCTGGATGCATCAAAGAATCAACGTCAATGTGTAATATTTCAACTTCAGATAGTAAATTGCCTGTGATGAAAAATTAGCTTGGAATGTTTTTCAATGATCCCCTATATATCTTTATGCAACCAGTCTACATTTTTCTCAAAATCACTAAATATTGTTATCTGTTATGTTCTTTCTTTTTAATTTTTTTCAGACAAAGTGGACGCGTTAGTGAAAAGCCATGGAAAACTGAGAAATGAGCCCATTTAGACGGAAAATTGATGAGACTTGCAAAACCAAACACATTCACGATGCTGGGCATAAGAACTATTCCATGTCAATTTTCTCACTTTCAGTTACATTGGTCGAATTTACATCAGTCATATTGTTTACGTGAAGACAATTTACAATACAAAACCATACGTATTGCAATTTGAACCAGACTAGTTAAAACCGAAAACGAAACTCTTCTTCCGTTGAAAAGTACTCATCTAGGAAGAGACAGATTTCTTTGGAGATTATTGCATTCATTTAAATTGGATTAAAATTTCAAATAAAAAATTAGAGTATGTAAAACCAAATTTTAACAGGACACAGAAATATTGAATTTTATGTTGGTGCTCAGATCAAGTCACTATTAACCCAATACATATTTTTTTGCTTTAATGGTGCTCTTATTCACCGTAATAACATTGGAAAATTTAAACATATATTTAGTCACTTTATGAATGAACATTTTGTTCACTCATTTCTGTGCAAATGTACAAAATACTATTAAATAAATGGATTTTCATAGATAGCGACTCGTTCGTTATTTACGAATATAAATCGTCAGAACCTGCAAATTTTTTAAAAATTTTATTTCATCATTTTTTCTATCCTTCACTTTGCTAAATATGTACAACCGTTTCAGTTTTCAGTTTCGCTTGGTATTCGCTATTCGTAATTTTCCTGTTGTTAACTGTCTTTACTTTCTGTACATGCTGCTGTTTACTCTCACTACATGTATCACGCTGTAAATACAGTAAGACCCCTACACTTTTTCTATACTGATTTTTTTTATTTCAAATTTATGCGTAACGAAAAGCAACTGAAATAGAAAATGGTTAAATTTTATTTCCAACCTTTTGTTTGCCTATTGAGATATTTAGGTATTTCATCGAAAATGCTGGATTTTTTTCTATTACTGATATTTTGCTTGCTAAGTTAGGTATGACGTAATGTGTTAGCTTTTCAAAAAATTAAATTTAATTAAATTTAATTTGATTTAATTTAATTTAATTTAATTTCATTTCATTTCATTTCATTTCATTTCATTAAAAACATAAAGAAGAAAAATTATTAAAGGCGAAGCAGAAAAAGAAAAGGCCCCCTCCCCTTCGTGCTCAAAATACCAAAAGCAGATTTATGTGGTCAGCTTCTCAAGTAAATGTGACAGGTGTGCTGGCTGCAGTGTGTTAGATGTGCTAGTAGCCTTCATGTACTATCACTTCTTGACTAAACAATTCTTGACCACGACGCAATCAGTTTTCGACAGTAAATGTCTGTTCCGTTAATGGAGGAAAATAATGCTCTATGCTTTTGGGATCAAGTTTTATCAGTGTTGAATTATACATGCTCGATTTCCATCTCTCATCGTTCTTGTGAGTCCCTTCTGTATCTTCCTCCCTCTCTCTCTCTCTCTCTCTCTCTCTCTCTCTCTCTCTCCATGTGACTGGTATTTTATATAATAAATTCGGAAACAACACACAATACAGATTTACATCTGTAAGACAGATAGCGGTTTTTACATTAATCATACTTCCATTATATGCCGCCGATCTGGATGTTACCCAGTGTAAGTCATGCGAGATTGGAATTTTATTAAATAATGCAATATTTAGAAAGTTTAATCTAAAACGTAGTAGGGGAGTGTGAACCTTTGGTCACGGCCTAGATGTTGTGGTTAGCAGCGTACATTTAACAAGGAAAGTGCGCGTCCGGCATGACGGCACAAAGCTGTCGTATATTGTCATTAACAATGCTATGTGTCACATGCGAGTTACGCATACCTTGTCCTCGCGGCCGAGAGATCAACAGCTTTGCGGGCGTCTTTGACTCTGAGTGAGGGGGATATTTTCAAAAAGCAGTGCAAGGTTGTCAATTCGTGCGATTATCTTTGTATTAGGAATTTCTTGCTCAGACGTCAATAACACCAGAGGAAGAAAAACAGAGTGTGAGTATTTTACTGCTTTTTTGTACTTTCCGATTAAATAGCTGCAAGTGGATTTCAGCGTGTTCATGAGACCCTGCAAGGCTGATAACCTGCAGTAACGTTTCTTACGTACGTTTACGGCTAAGTTTCTTTTGGTTTTGAAACCTCTTCAGCTATAACATGTATGCAGCGGAAAAGAAGTCCATTTACGAGTTTATACAAGGAAATTGGGAGGAAATTATTTAAAAGAATTTCGAGGTACCGTCCCTAGCTATAAATAGTATTGTAATCCGTGAATAACTCGCCGACAACCTTCAACAATATAGACCTGCATGCGGCGGTGCTATTGATGTCCTGAGATGAAAAAGGCCAAGATCATTTTAATTGCGATGGAATCAGCCGATAAACATTACGCTGGCTAAGGTACATGTAATCGATGGGAAGTAATGAGTTTTTCATGCAATATTCTTTGACTGGCGAATCTGGGAATATTGTTCACCAAGGCAAACCCCGCAGGTAAACATGCTATTTTGACCAATGAATATTGAAATAATTCCACTTCTTAAGGTCCCACTAACATGGTCCCAATCAAGACTGGGCCAGTAATTTCACTTTTTAGTGAATTTTAATTCATTATTTTATTTTGAACCGAAATAGTTTGTTGTCAGGTTAAGTTACAGTTATTTTCTGATTTGGTTTTGTCACACAGATTCACATAAACAGAGGTACTTTATTCTCTCTCTCTCTCTCTCTCTCTGTGTGTGGGGGGGTGGGTGAGGGGGGTGGGATCAATTACGTTTATTTTAAAGCATTAAAACGTCGACATTGTCCAAAATAAAGTAGAAGGCTCTGCTTCCAGTCTGCAATGTCGATAATAATGAAGTATCCATGTGCTATACCTGTGTGCCATATATTCCATTATAAAATTTTCGATTCGACTGCTACTTGAATCTCTCATGCGTAACTAATCAGAACGTGTTTCTTTTAAGACTAGCATTTCTTTATCTTCCGATATTAGTATTGTTCTCCCACGGTCAAAAGATTTTATTACTTGTGGCCGCTAAACAGTGAAACGCTTGACATTGTTCAACTTTGTTTATTGACACTATGCAGTATATCTGATATCACCTCTGCTCAAAAGTCCAAGGCTGTATGGACATTGTAAAGAAAAAGCTCTTTTGATGGCTCTTATTTTGGGAGCGAAATTATCATACCTATTTATCTGTCTTCGTTCGTAATTTGACCCGATGCTTGTTAAAGGAATGGCGAAGGTTGTAACCTCGCATTTCAATGCGACAAATCGTATTTCATTTCGCCAAATCAAGGGGAAAGGCTTTCGGGTACGGCATCCCACCATCATTTGTCCAATACTGGGGCCCTGTCAAGTAATCTGACATATCAGGACACAGATACCGGGTTTGTCAACTAATTTATATGAATCTGGTTAGCTCCTCAGTGATTTATAGCAATATATATCTCTCTCGACTCCACTGGCCCTTACTCGCCATACTTTTTTTGCAACTGCACTGAATATTTTTACGAGAGATGACGTCTATAATTTGGTTTTATGCTCTATTATTATCATATTAACCTACAGAGATAATCTAAACCCATATTCTTAGATCACAAACAGACAGGCATGTTGCTGTGTTTACAGATTGTAGTCAAAATTATAACCGGGATACATGTACGATGTTATCGAATTACTCTGTATTTAGGTACTGAGGCACCTATCATTATGATCGCATATATAATTTATCTATTTTTAAGACATTAATTGTTGTTGGTAGCAAAAAAATCCTTGTAAGGTCGACTTTTGGCCCTCCGTGTTACCCAAAACTTCATCCCCAGAGGCACGGCCTGAGCCAGGAAATTACATTACTTCTTCAATATGTCGCAGTCCACTTTATTTATCAGCTTAGGTGGAATGAAAATGTCACGGGAATCCATCGAGGCGAAAAGATGCGAATCTTCAATAAGATCAAACGTTACTTATCTAACATTAGACCTGTGAGGAAGAGTGGTAGAGGGTTCCATAGTGTAAATATAAAGTGACGGCCTACTGAAATTTTATTAAAGCCATAAAAATTACGTTTCCAATACTTAAAATGATGTAAATGTTTCCCTCTTCATTTTCTTATTAGCACAGTATATTTCACAGGGTGGTTTGTGAAAAAAATCGACGAATAACGGAAAAGAACGCCTTTAAAATAGTGACTCTAGATCTTAAATTGGGCACGAGTTTTGTCCGTGCTAGATCCGATGGAGCTCATGGAGGACGTGAGACCGTGTCACAAGCCCAAGGTAGCCTGCTCAGGTGCCTCGATCACTCAAATTAGGGCTGCGCTGGGACACGCCGCGGGCTCTGCGACACAGTGTGTGTCATCTCTCAAAACTGATTAGGTCTTCTCATACCCAACACTGCAATAACTTCTACCAATGAGCTACATGTGACCCTCCATCTTCAGCATGACTGATACATGTAGCTCATTGCTTCTATCCAGGCTTCTAATTTCTTTCCTTTTTTTACTCAGTACCGCCTGAAAAGGTGATAAACGTAAAGATTTTAAGACTAATCAATCATGAAATCATGAAAATTAAGCCGATTTTACTCAACTGGTTCTAATAAGGTGATAGGTGTCACAATACCGCGCGCTACAGGACGAGGGGTAATATTATATGAGCAGGTCTTTTTTTTAAGTGCACGAGAATAACGTTATTATCATATTTATTCTCCCTGGGCCACATCAACCCCAAATAACACTTGTTCCACGCCCTGTCGCACGATTTGATAGCAGTATTGGCATGCTTGGGTCATGAACTGATTTATTCTCTGTGCCTCTGTAATTATGTGGTAAAAACGCTCAACATATATTTTAATGTCCATAATTACACTGTAATTAAACAGAATTGTAATAGAAAACAATGTTTGCTAACACTCATTTATCGGAATTCTTCCCAAAATCGTGATATCGGTATTCTTACCTTTTGTTTGAGGAACATGTATATACCCGGTGGGTTTTGATGTACCAATACGTGCACTGAAAGGGTGGACAGAGAAAACAGAAATCTCTAATCTAAGTTTCGTATAAAATCTACATTTTTGGCTAACTATAATGGCAGATATATTTGTTTAGAAAACATGCTCGGAATGATGATGGAGGGGGAGGATAATTGATTAAGTCAACCACCTATAGCCGCCAGTGACAGGCGCCTGGGAGGCAGGGAGAGACACGGTAGACATTAGATAAATTGAATTCCGCGACCTCCAAACAAAATTACAGGTTGTTATGAAGAAATGTCTCGGTGAGGTGGCACGCACATAACCCCTGGTCGCTAATTGTACTCACCTTGCCCCGAATTGTTGCACAAAGGAAAATAATATACCTGTCCTCGGTCACTTTACAACCTCACTGTGCATAATGATACTTTGTTAATTCACATCGTAATACAGGTACACTTCCGATTATGATGAGCAGGCCAACATCTAGCACGTGGTGACAGGTGATAGTCTATTAATGGAAGACCACACATTGTTGAAAATATTTAAAACCAAAGGAGGGGATAATGGAAAAGTCGTGGTTT